CACCACCACTCTCTCCGATGTTCAAATCTACCCCGGACAAGAACAGCTTCCTTCACCCAGTCTCACCATCTAACGGACAGCGAGATCCATCGCCCGGCGCTAATCGTTTATAAAGATCACATTGCAACGGCACACAGGCCGTACCAACGTTCAGTGTGTAAAATGATGCCAAGTCTCTAATCTCTTTGCCACGCCATCCTCGTTGCAGCGGCGAAGATATGCGTCATTAACGGCACCAACCTGACCAGGTAGCTCGGTATGACTGTCACTCATAACACAAATTTTCGGAGCGATGCACACTCCCGCGCAGCAGGACGACACTGCTGACCAGTCCGGGCTACATCATCCACATCGTGTTGCCGCTATTCCAGGTGGTCAGTCCATACCGACACAACGGCCGATATCGGCGCTCAGCGGTCGTGGCTGCGCCACCAGAATATCACCAACAAATCGACCAGTTTGCGGAACGCCCGAACAATCATTCCGTACTTGTACGCAACAGTCCCGGCGAACTGCCATTTGTCGGCGGCGGCTACGACTTTGTCCCGATTCACCAGTGTCCACTCGACATATCCCGCATTGACAGCAATGTTTTCTTCGTCACTCGACCGTATCCAGCCGCAAGACACTCCGCTCGGACTGACAAAAGATGTGGGTGCACGACCACTGCTGATCTACCAACGAAATAATGATAACAAGTACATGCGTGAATATCGCCATGTGTTGTGTCTGCGATTCAAGTAACTGCTCTGCGGGCAGCGAATGCGGAAATCGCTTCAAGCCACAATTTCGCCTTGATTTGGTCAAGACTCGCGTCACGCTTGGGGTCGTCTGTGCGGAGTAATTCCAAAAGGTGATTTTGTCATCGAGTACGATGTCGAAGTCCTTCTCGCCGGCGATACCAACAATCGCCACGACAGACGCTATCAGGCTCGAATGAAGAGCAAGCCGTACCGGGAAAATAAAATGGAACTAGTCATCGATGCACGCGCATACGGCAACGAGAGTGGTTTCGTTAATCACTCCCGCCATCTGAATTGCGATCTTTACGACTACAACTGGACCAACACGTCGTGTATGGGTACTTCGCATTACGTGGTATCCCACCCTTACAAGAGCTGACGTTCCGCTACCGCAACCATAGCTAAAGTTTATTTCGCTGCCAAACTGCGTTTCCAACTAAATAAAACCGTAGTTTTCACCGCGCCATGTTCCCCTGGCAAGTGACACAACCAAACGGAGATAGGTCCCAATTAGCCGGCCGCACTTGTGTATGGATCACCACGCTGCAATTATGACGGTTCTTTATTTTATATCCCATCTATCATAAAAATAAATTTCGTCCTTCTCATTTCTCCATCCGTTTAGCAAAGCATATATAGCATCAACTATCATAAACCACGTTATTTCCGAGGTTCTGACATAGTTATCGTGTCATTCATTGGGCTTACCGCGCGCCGACCTACATTTCGTGCTCGCCAAACACAACTTCATGTACTCCTTAGCACCACCTCCCCACAATGTCAACGTTAGCACGCACAGCCCGTCCTTGTCGTTGTGCCGTACTTGCATCGTGCGCCTGGGGGATTCTACCGCCATATTTACCCCTCATTGGCGTTATGCCGTGCTTGCTTTGGGCTACGCATACTTGTGGCCGTCGGCGACCACTTGAGGGATTTCTAAAGTCTTTTGTATGATTGCATATCTGTCAGTATGCACGAACACAAATGTCGAAAAAGCACTTACGGGATGCCTCGCTATTGGTCTAAATTGCATCGGGTTGTTCAAATATTTATACAACTTCGACGGCTCCGTGGAAGTTCGTCTAAGTATATGCTAAAGAGGCGCGAACGGTACCTTCAATTATTTTTTTTCAGCCCTAGTCTGTAAAACGGGGGGGGGGGGGCTACTTTATCACTAATAGAAACTAAAGATTCATATTTTTAGTTTTAGGCATTGACCCGTATGTTGTACTTTATCTTGATTTCACCAGCAAACTTTGTAGCCAAGTGTATAAAACCGTCGAGACTTAAAAAAACTTCAACGTGCCACTTCGAAATGTTCTCGCTGTTGATCTCTCAGCTAAAGGCTGAGGTAACTTCTGGATTAAAATCCAGAGAAGCTAACCTTCGGTTGTTGGGTATCAATGGCAAGGGCATCCCTGCGCTAGAAAATACTTCCAAGTCGCCAGAATAAGGCATTTACTCAACCGAATGATCACCACACGCACGGCGTATCCAGCGTACCACATATGACACGGGATACTTTAACATGAAATGACAGCGGACTTGTTCAGACCCACGGTCTGCTCGGGACGTGACTTGATATCCAGAGTCGCAATCTAGCGGGTTGCATGCCTTTTGATGCGCTTGAAACCACTCAACTACGTCCGAGTGGTTATGCGCGTCTGCGATTTCAAGGGCCGCTTGACTGTCCATATCACCGCTTTGCTCCTTGCCCCCTCGTTGCGTGCAGCCACCACACGACTTCCAGGTGGCCACTGCTTGCTGCAACACAAAGAGCGCGGCCCGCGTCCCCCTCAATCCTGTTGTTGTGCAGCCATTGAACGGTATCCAAATGACCAGCATCAGCAGCCCAGTCATCTTGCTCTTGTTGTACATCCTTCTCGCCGGTGTATGTGGAACCACTGCACCAAACGCAGATTTCCAGCTGCAGCAGCCCAGTCCATCGCACCTCTTGAGCATCCTTCGCTGCGGTTTGCGTGAAGCCATTGCACCATTGCCCAGTCGCGATTCCTTACGGCGTTATCCATGGCGTGTACGGTACAACCCTCACTTCTGTTCTCATGGAGCCACAGCACCACGTCGAGGTGGCCACACAGGGCTGCGCCGTTCATGACGGACGGTCTCCATTCGCATCGATTGGAGTGAAACTTGGTAAGCCAACGCAGCACATGCACGTGGCCGCAGGTGTATCACGGCTCCTGGTCCAGAAAACGAGTTCATAACGCCGTCGATGAGTCGAACTACGTGGTCTAACACTCAAACCACGGAACCCGAGACCTTCGCGACAGACCAAGTAAGGTGCGGTCAGCACGGGGCTGGGATGCGACAAACAAAAGCGTTCGAACCAAATCATCAGTACTGGCTTCCAGCCATATTTATTACAGTGATGTCGATCACACGGTTTGTTCCATAAAATGGTTAGTTGTCTGATTGTTCCAACGCGTTGGAACGGTTCTTACGTGTCTACGTTGCATGCTCATGCAACGATCACATGGAGACACGTGGCGATTCCCCGCCACGTGGCCACCACGGTGGCGGATCTGCCAAGTAAATAAGCTCAATTTTACTGGTGAAACCACTCACAATTGAATTCATCCCAAGATCACCAAGTATCCCTCCAAGTGCCACAAGCCACGCCGACATTACAATCATGCCAACGCCACCATCTTCCGCTCGCACCATTTTGAAGCTATCGATCGGAGCTGCAACAAGTCGAACAAGTTCCACCAGTGTCGTCTTTGCCTGGCCGCGGCCCGACCTGCCTTAAGAGTAGGAGCTAGCTCCGTACTCGTTGAAGACATTCGAGCACGAAAGGAAATTTTTGAAGCCCATCTCGAGGACTGCCGCCACGGTCCAAGCTGGGCAAAACCGAGCTCACAAGAATTTCGACCGTACAGTCGACATGATGACGAGCGTGAATTGTCATCGTTGCCGCCTGGAGAACAATCCCAGATCCCCGACTACTTCTCTCAGCGCTTTGATCCCGGCATGACCGAGGAGCTCGAGAGACTCCTTGTGGAGTTTCAAGCTGACAATAGACTCCCCGACTTGTTTATCTCCCGCCCCTCTACGAGGAACCTATTTGCATTTTTGAACGCATTAAGTGTAGCTTCGTCACCATCTCGCCAAGTGCTTGGTGGTCGTATTATCGACAGGTGTGCGAAGACTGCATTCGAAGACGACAAAAGCATTATACGCCGGGCGCAGTTTCTAACAGAAGCAAAGGTCAACTTTCTCTCGGACGTCTGGATGAACATTGCGAGGATGCACCTGCTTGGTTGCCAGATATCCCTATATGGTGCAGTGTGTGCAATCGGTCTATTTCCAACCAGCGATCGTCATGATGGAGTGGCCATCGCGGAACACATGGAAAAGGTCATGCTCCAACTCGAAAGCAATGGGTGGTCAATTGGAGCGGTCGTAACTGATGACGCAGGCCAGTGTGCACGGGCTCGCCGTATCCTAGCTCTACGCTGGCCAAAGGTGATTTTCCTGCGATGCTTTGCTCACTCCATCAATAACTTGGTGAAGGGGGTACTTCAAACAACATTTCGGGATGTCGCTGCTCAAGCATCAGCTGTGGTAAACTGCCTCAATGGGTCATCCTCGAAGTGGCTGGTGAGGGTGAAAAAGCAATGGTGGAGACGTATGGGAAGAAAGGGGATTGGAGCCTTCTGCCTCTGTGTGATACAAGGTGGAACTCAATGCAAGGCTGCTTTGCGTCATTATTACGTGTTCGAACGGCCCTTCGCCAATTTATGGCCGACAACTGGGACGATGACGAATTCCCCGACGCCTTGGTTGTGTTAGATGATCCAGAGTTCTGGTCATGTTTGGAGGAAGCCGAGCAATTGGTGAGACCTCTTTGTTTGGCATCATTCATGCTTCAGCACGACAACAACACTCTCAGCGACGTCACATTTTGCTTTCAACAGCTCTTCGACGCCTTCTCAACTTCATCGTATAGCGAAACTCTAACGGGGTTGCTGGAGAAACGCTGGGCCGACTGTGAACAACCATTGTTCATGCTTGCTTTCGCTTTGGATGTGAAAAGGCTGGAGGTGTTGAATCAGCTACCCGCGAGGGTAGTGGACGAACTTACAAACTTTGCACTGCTCTACTACCGTAAGTTGTTTGACAAGGATGCTCCGTCGATCAAGGGGGAGATGTCCGAGTGGATCAACGGGAAATACATTTCAAGTGGCAAGTGCACTAAAGACTTTGAAGGCTTAGAGACGCCGCCTCTCGCCGCATTCTGGCAAGTTGCTAAAGGTACCAAGATGCGTCATGGTCGAAACTTCGCGCTGTGTGAACTTGCACTGTCGATATTTGCGATGGGGGTGAATACTGCTACGTGTGAGCGATATTTTTCAGAGCTAGCGCTGATTCACACCGCTCGCCGAAACAGACTCGCTGCTGAAAAAGCTAGAAAATTGCTGCTATTCGACGACAAGTACGGGAACGCGAGTTTCGGGGAAGAAAGCCGATGGAGCCGAAAAAGCGGATCGTAAACCCTAATGAATTGACTAAAGCAGTGGTGTTTGGAACACCAGTACGTGCGCGTCGTAGCAGACCACGTAATGAATCACCCCTCTATTCGGATACTGAGGGTGAATCTGCGGCGTCTGATGTGTGATCTGTGACGGAAATCAACTCACTACAATTGGCACAACCGTCGAGTCCAACCAGCACTGTTAAAGAGACCGGAGACAAATTTGATTTGAGCGCTAACGCTGACGAACAGCACGACGACGATGCCGGCGAGGGGCGCGATCCCCTAGAGAATTGGGTGGAGGTATTCCAAGAGCTGCTTGACGCTGACGATTCGAATGCAGTACATGCATCGGAGCTGGAGCCTCCCGATGACCACTTTGAACCGCTGGGCGAGTATCGGAATCCGCCATTTCCTTTACACAACGATTTGAAGTTCCCCCAAGAGCGTCGCCTCCCAGGAATGCGAGGCTATAAGATCCCACTTGCTGAACTATTCGGAGTGAACGCGACCGACCGCAGGCTCTCGATCGACTCCAACTACAGCTCCGTTGCGTTCTTCTAGAGCAGCAATCAGTTTTGAAGGGTGTTCACCTTTACTAAAACCAAGTGTAGAAAATTGGGCAGATATCGCGAAGAAACCGTTGAAACAAACAAAAAAAAAACGGCAGATTGCTTCATCGTTTGTTCTGTTTGATCCGATCGCACGGATCGGCATCACTGTTTATTACTCAACGACAACGAACTTGTAGAAGTTTCGATGCGATGAAATGTCGCTTGCCATCCCGGCCAATCAGATCTCTCGAAATATATTTTCCATTCCCATTTAAGACGTGGGACGTCTTCGTTATCGTGCGTAGCTTTCATCTAAAAGTTGTTTGAGACTGCTCCCATTTTATAAAATGGCTTTTTCAATAAAAAGTACTTTGTATAGAAAAGTGCGCATTGGTTTCGGCCCACTTTTGATCTTTTTTTTATTATGGTTGGCCATAAACTATGAGCAGTCAAGGCAAGAACTTTTTTTCAGGAAAAGTGCTTAATGACGTTTTCAGAAAATTTTTGAAAGAAATAGCGAAGTTCAACTACTACCTCCGTTCGGAAAATATCTTCGTAGCAACAAAGGAGTACTCGCCTACGGAGAAATTGCGCAAGCCGCGGAGGAGTTTGGCTTTCATCGCTCTGCTGTTTCGCGAATATGGAAGCGAGGCAGTGCCGCATTGGGGACAGGTGTGGCTGCTGACGTCAAGTCACACAAGCATGAGCGAGGGAGGAAGAAGGTGGACCGCGTCTCGATCTGTAATCGCATCGCCCAATCAGCCAGCGCAAAGTTCCGACCTCAACTGCCTGGATTTAGGGCTGTTCGCCAGCATTCAGTCTGTGCAGTCGCGCACAACATCTCGCACAATTCAAGACATAATCCAGGAGGTTGAGCATGCGTACGAAATCATGACTGCAGAAACGCTGAACAAGACATTCTGGACGCTACAGCTGGTCATGAAGGAGATCATGAATTGTGAAGGCCGCAACGACTACAAATTGGCTCACTTTCACAAAGATAAGCTGATCCGAGCTGGAAAACTTCCAGCATCGTTGCAGTGCGATACTACAAGTTTCGGCCTTGCGCAGCAATCTATCCTGGCGCTCGCAGTTGCTTCGTGGATCGATCCGCCACTTCCGCAAGCTTCTACTCAGCCTTCTCCGCGCTCTCCCCCGCTCTCCCCGCCATCACCTACACATTTTGACCCATTTCTATACTTTTAATGCGGCGGAGCATGCACGCCTGCAGCGTACTACGATCTTTTAGTGTTTTTATTCTCGAGATCTTGTCGAAGTCGCCGCCACCTCTGAGCAGTTTATAATCCCCAAAAAAACGAGGCGGAGCGCTGCAACTTTTTTTTTAGATCGTGCGATATTTTCCGAACGGAGGTAGTATTCACTTCACGATGTGTCACACACCAAAATGGAGAGAGAGAGAGAGAGAGAGAGAGAGAGAGAGAGAGAGAAGCAAAAACGCGATCCAAGTCTAATTTTTAATCCGTTGCGTGCGGCATCCACAACATTTACACCACGGAGTACGCTGAAATCTCCTTGGACACATCAGCAACAACGATCAGGTTCTGCTGGCCTGTGGTGGCGATGGCATTGGGACTATTAGTCAGTGCAAACTCCATGACCACGAATGGATTTGGCGCCATGGGGTCGATATCGTTGAGGGCGTCGGAAGCGTCTAGTGAGAGCGCTGCATGGTAGTCCCACATGCACACTTTCGCGTCGTTAGCGGTGGACACGAGGCGGTCGTCGGGGCTAAATGCAGGGAAGAGAACCTGGGAAACCATAGCGCCGTGGTGTTTTAGCCGGCGCACGATTTGCTTCGAGCCAAAGTTTACAACGGCAATACTGGAATCTCCCAGGCCAGCCGCAAAAGACTTTCCATTTGATGCGAACGCCAGTGAGTGCACCAGAGGCGGATTGAACAATTGCTGGGTGCCCGAGCCGGATTCTTCAACGGAAGCGCTGTTACCCAGTCCATTCACACCCGTATTGAGATCGATGCTAAACTTGACTCTACCGCGAGAAAAGTCCCAGAAGAGTAGCATGCCGTCCATTCCTCCAGAAATCAGGTCCCACGGAGCGTTGGGGCGGAAGGGTGCGGTGCTACAAATGTTGGTGTGCTGGCCTCGCAGTGTCTTGAACAGGCAATGGCTCTCGAGGTCGTATACACAGATATCACCAGTGTCATCGGGTGCCGATAAGAACTTGCCGTGCTTGCCCGGGTGTCGCGATAGCACGTTGATCTCGTCTTCGTTGTGTTGGAACACTTCACGGTCCGCGCAGTTCACGATCAGCGCCGGTTGCCGCATGTCAAACGTGAGCACCTTGTTGCCAGCCGCTACGTAGATGTACGCGCTTTCTGCACCTTCTGAGGTCTTGCCAAAGGCCAGCGAGTTGACAGCACTCTCGTCCATGTTATCCGTGCCGAGCGCTTTCTTCACATTGAAACACTTAGTCACTCGCGCAGTGCGAACATCCCACAACCGGCACGTGCCGTCATCGCCTCCGGACGCCAATACATTAGGGTGCACGTCCTCCTCGCATAGCAGCGTGTTCACTGAGTCGCGGTGGCCCTTGAACGTTAACAACCGAGTTGGCGCTGCCATGACCTATCGTCTTGATCAAACTAGGAAATGGGAAACAATGGCCATTGGGACAAATGAGTTTTGGCCAATAAGGTGTAAGAAGACTGATGCTGACAGCGGACTCTGCGTGCTGACAGCGTGCCGCAGCGAAGCAGTTAACAGTGCAGGCGGCATTAATTTTAATATGTTATTTGCCACTCGAGCATCCCTATAGCTCGACACTTGACAGCACGAATAGCATTGGCAACGATCTTCCAGCGAATTACCAGCGGTAAAATAGGCTAGCTTGGTACAATGCACTACATTTTCCACCTTTCAACAGAGGAAATGTCAGCAACTCGATCTCGCTTTCATTTCACTGCTGGAAAGTTTGAGTCCAATGCGCATGGGTCTCCCTCCGCCTTTCAAATTGGCCAACCCACAGTCGGAGTCGAGATATTCTTGGCATGGAGACACTCGAGGACCTCCTTGTTATGTCGGTCGGTACCTGTGGTTGAGTAGGCAGTACACGATTACTCCACCGATTATTCGTCTTACCGACAAGATGAACACGTGATTTGCAAGCTCGCAGAGGCATGTAAGTGTATGCTGCGGTGGTCGACGCACTCATCACGCGGTGACGAATCGCACGGCTCTGGCGAGCATAGAGGTTTAACGGATTGTGTGACTGCAACTGTAGTCACGCGCACAGCAGCAGTCCCCTAGGTGGCACCGGACCGGTGTCCCCAAGTTGGGTCACCGAGTTGGAGTGCAGCTCCGGTTTGGCAAGTGAGCGCGCTCGCTCCGTTGGCGTCAGCTTTGAATTGATCAGCAAAGCAAAGCAAGCTGAAAGAGCTCTGTCGGGAAGCCCGATCTCGAGATCACAGGTTGAAGCTTTCCCGAAGTGCCTTGGGGGATTCTTATCCGCGTGTTTGTCAACCGTCTGCTTTAGGGCTAATGCCCCCCTCGTCTGGGCCAAGCGATCACCGCGCTCGGGAAAAAAACGTCTGCTGCAAGAGCACCAAGGCGGGAGCCGCAATGAGGTGGCGGGCGTGTGTGTGTTCGAGATGATGACACAACCGACAAAGCCTGTTTTGGTTTCTACAGTTCATGTGCCACTTCAAGGTTGCCTCCTACACTGTAGGCTACAGCCACACGATCGAACCCTGCTGCTTTCAGCGCATGTCCGCGGAGAGCTCGATCTTCCGCCCCATGACGGGCGTCGAGGACGACGAGTCGGGATTGTAAAATGCACAGGATGCCCCGCCGCGCACACGGCGTCGAAGTGGCGAAGATACTCACGCATTCGCTGTTTCAACAAAAGCGCCTCTGTCGCTGCCTCGCTCTATGTTAGTTACACGCAATGTAGCACAATTGCACCGAAGTCCATCATGGCGTCGTACGTCGCTAGCGTCGAGCTTGCTGCCGTCTGGGGCCCCAGTGGGGCGGGCGTCTATGCTTCGAGGCAAGTACACAAGTATCCGGGGATATTAATACTAGTATTATACATGTAGTCCATTATTGTACAGTCCAACTACTTCGAATGATATAGTTCGACGTCCTAAGAGAAAATCGACTTTGCTCTCTCCCTAGTTCGACGAGTTCGACGAGTTCGACGTTGTTAAGTCCAGTGTTGCATTGCGAAAACGCAACGTTAACGAAGTTGCTGTCTGCTACATGAACTTCTTAAGCACTGCTGTGCGTACTGCTCAGTGTTTGCTGCGTGTTGATGCCCCGGGCGGTGGCGATTGCGCCGCTGTTCAACGGCTATGAAGGCGGTCGCCACGGACTTCAAACCTGCCGCGTTGTGGCCGACGAGGCCCGATCCTGAAGATCGCAGCCAGTCCTTCGACCGGACAATGTTGAGCTGACCTTATGCAGGTTGTCCCGAGCGGCGAGCGCCTTTCGGTGACGTGCGTGTCCAATATGGCGAAATCGCCTCGTTTTTGCTGGGATGAGAGTCACCAGAGTTGGCTGCCGTGGAGAAGAGCGGTCACTCAGATGCACCACATGGCAGCTCGGCCATCAGGATGACCGGCGCCGGCGTGGACAAGGCGTCTTCCTTCGGGATCCCGTGACTTAAACCTGCTGGGCTGCCACAGCGCGCTTTGCCATCCAGGTCAAGTGGTCCGGTGCCATAAGTTCGCACGAAATTCTGATTTGGTGCCGCAACACTGCCGATATGTATTTTGTTTTGTAGCAGACTGCTTCTATACAAACTATCTCTAAATTCGAGCTCGCTTGTGTCGGCAAGTTAGCGGGCTGAACAACGCAGATCAGATAAAATGACTGCAGGGATCGCCAATTACGACAGCGGAGTTTCGCAGCTTCAACACCTTTGGGGGAGGAAGATCAAAGTGCATGGCGGACTCATCGTACCGGAGTCGGCTGTGGAGACCCGCTTGCCATGTCTCGCTGAGCCAGCCTGTACGTGGATGAAGTTGCTGCCTAAATACAAATTGACTAAAATATCTGGCTACCAGACCTGTTGCTGGTTTTCCGATTATAGGATTGGCTGATATCTAAAACTTTGTGAGCTGTGACCAATCACACCTACAGAATCGTACTGTAGCGCGTTTTTGCGACCGGATTTCGTAACCGCCCGACCCCGCATAATCTGGCCGGGTTCATTCAGGTTGTGCAAAGTGAGGCCGTCTGGCCGATGGCTGGTCTGCGTCGCCAGAAGTGCAGTGGCAATCTTCACTTTCGGATTTCCCACAAGCAGAGCAAGCCGACGAGACAGAGAGACAGAGAGAGAGAGAGAGAGAGCGGAGTCCTCTCATTCTTCTTCAAGCCAAACACATTCAAACACAGAAGCCAATATGCACATGAAGGTGGCCATGGACAAACAGACGTCGCGGCGCCTCGTTAAGGTGACCAACTACGCGCTGGTGCAGGTGCTCAAGGCCACGGTCGCGCGACTGCGCAAGATCGAGATGGAGCTGGGCGACCTGGAGCTGGCACTCGAAGATGAGCAGGAGGAGATCGAGTCCTACAGTGATGATATTGACGACTGCCACGACCGCATCGAGGACATCGACGAGTTCGTGCGCGAACTCGAGGCTGGTAACGTACACACGGTGAGCGACGTCGCGGCCGCGCTAGCAGAGATGACTGAGGAGCGCCAGGAGGAGAAGAAACTGCTGAAGGTGCTGGGCGACGCGCGCGCGAGCCACGAGCAGCAGTTCGAGCGCCTTCAAAGCCAGTCCGCAGCACTCAAGTCGGAGCGTCTTCTGCTGACCAAGACTCGTTTCGAGATCTGTTGCCTCTTCCGCCGCAACGGCGTTTTCGACCTCGTGCGACGAAGGCTCGCAGTGTTCAACCCCAAGCTGATGTAAAGCGCTTGGAAGGGCGTGGCTCAATATTTATTAGCTATAGTACTATGAAAAATATTACCTCAATTCTGCCACACACACCGTCAAGACATGTTTTCTGTATTGTATGTAGCGTACCATCATCTTTGCTCAAGAATCCTGGCAGGAACTTTGGCGCGGTCGGTATCAAGGCGTCGGTTCAGAGGTGGCTGGTCATCGACTGCGTTGCTGCAGCTGCGCGGGCTTCACTCTCGGTGCGCCATCGCGTGCTTGCGTCTCCAAATCGAGAGATCTTCCGCAGGATTGCGGGCGCGATATGCCGCTACAGTGCGAAACAAGGCACTTTACCCCGCCATAGTTTCGATGCGTTATCCCTTGAAGCTCGGTCTGCAGTGTGCGGCCAATCGCGCTTCGCGCCCGACGCGCGACTGGTGACTTCACATCGCTTGATACATCGATCCAGACTTGGGATGAGGTCGCGGATTTGGAGAGCAGAGACCTGTCGAATCATCACTTGGTGGTGTTTTCCGCCGCAGCTGTCGTCTTCCCGTCTCGCTCGTTGGCAGGATAGGCAGAGCGAAGAAGTTCTGATGGCAAGGCCGATTTGCCTAAGTCGAAGTTGACTCATAACGTCGGAAGAGTGGACCAGAGAGAGTGTTCCTGTACCCATGATGAAGGATCCAGGGACTGATTCGCGCCAAGCTGGCAGCACTGCAACTTGCACTGCTACCGGTTACGGGCCCGGTAGTGAGAACTCCTCGCATGGCAGCATCTTTCTGCATCCTCTTGGTGTCTATCGCGGCGGCGGGAAGCTTAGGCTTGACTCGGTTACTGAGTCGGTAGGGTGGAATTGGATTCGTCACGGTGCGTTCGTAAGCAAGCTTACGCGACGTTGGTCTGGGGGCCTTCCACCAGCACAAAGACTCGAATGCCTCGTATGCCTCCGCGACAGAGGCTCTGTCCACGATGCTTGTAACAAGCCTGTTGGGGGCAACAAGGCTAGCGTTCTTTTTAAAGAAACGATCTAGCGGCTAGCAGCTCCTTCGGTTGTCAATGAAACCACAATTATGCCTGCGCACCCTTCGAAACGATCCCTCAACCGACGGAGACCTCATAGCTTGCGCTCGGATTCAGCGTGCTATGACGACGGTCAACCTCATACCTCGGTACGCGTGCGATGCCCTACGCTATCTCCATATCTGCACCTCATTTACCTTTTGTGCCTGCCCACCAGCCATATCTTCGGGCTCAAGACAGATGTCCACTCTAATGTAGCTTTCGTCGACGACCAGACTGTGGCGTATCCTGCCGGTCACCACATTATCGTGTGCTCCCTAGACGACAAACGCCAGAAATTTATCGCCGGCACCGAAGCTTCCGAGGGCGTCACTGCTGCAGCTCTGGCTCCCAGTCGCCGCTTTCTTGCAGTTGCCGAGCGCAGCGAACGAGCGCTCGTGAGTATTTTCGACCTCAAGACGCTCAAAAAGCGCAAGGTGCTGAGCTCGGCCGATGCCCAGGCTCGGAGCTACGTCAGTATGGCCTTCAGTGCTGACAACCAACTGCTACTCACACAAGGAGGTGCCCCCGACTGGATGCTGACGTGCTGGAACTGGTCTAAAGGCAAACCTGTGGCTAGTGTTAAGGCTCCTATGCATGTCATGGCACCTCATGCATCTCCAAGCTCGGCCATGTTGGCGCTAGCAGGCCAGTCAACGCAACATACCATTAGTGGTAGCATGGCTCACTTGAGCTCATCGCCTTCAGATGCCAATTTGATGGCGTCTAGCTCAAACAACTCCGGAGGTGTTGCAACCACGTCTTCCCCACCCCAAGTATCTGCGTGCTCATTTAGCGACGTGGATGCTGGGTTGGTGTGCGTTACGGGTGTGGGGCTGATTCGCTTCTTCAGAGTGCTCGAGACAGCGTTCCGCCCGTTGCCCAGTCCTCGAATGGAGAGTCACATTTTCCTCGCACACGCATGGCTCAAGCAACGTGATGACTATTTAGTCGCTGGATCTGCCGCAGGAGATCTCATGCTTTTCCATGGAGGAGAATTCGTAACTCGTCTCAGTGCATCTCCGGGGCCTGGCAGGGCTGTACACAGCTTGACAGCGACCACTAAAGGGCTCCTTTGTGGACTCAGTGATAACACTGTGGCCATGTTTGGGGTAGTCTTAAGTGACAGCGGAGACCATGTCGATTCATCCAGAGCGACGTCCGTTGAGGAAGAAGCAAGCCCAACACCAACGTCACAAGAAGATCATTTCCTCGAAGATGCGGCTAATATACTAACGCTGCAGCGACTCGTCCGAGTGGACACTGGAACAGGCTACGTCGCAACTATTGCTGTTAGTCCTAACGAAGACGTCATCGTCGTCACCACTTCCAACGCTCAACTACTCACGTTTCCCTATCAGATCCACGCCTCAGGAATGCATTCTGCTGTCCAAGCGGTGGTGGATGAGACCGCTAGTGGTAACTTAAGTGGAGCGACCGGTGTTGCAATGCCAGACACTGCGATAACTCAAAGCGAAGATGTCGAATACGTGATCACAAGTTTCCATCAACCGAGCGACCCGATCTCCGCTACTGGTGGAGGCAGCGGCGGTGGCATCCTGCACGTGACTGGTATGGACGTGTGTGTGCGCAAGCCGCTCCTCGTGACGTGCGGTTTGGATCGAACCGTTCGCGTCTGGAATTATATTGATCGCACCTGCGAGGTGGCCAAGCGCTTCAATGAAGAAGCTTTCAGTGTAGCCTGCCATCCTTCTGGATTGCATTTGCTGGTTGGCTTTGCAGACAAACTTCGCTTGCTGAATATCCTTATGGATGACATTCGTTCGTTCAAGGAACTCCCGGTGAAGGCTTGTCGTGAGTGCCAGTTCAGTACAGGAGGACATCTTTTCGCGGCAGTCAATGGTAATACCATTCAAGTATTCTCTCTTTTCACGGGCGAGTTAGTTGCTACTCTTCGAGGTCACAACGGAAAGGTGCGCAGTCTTTATTGGAATTCTGACGATTCCAACATTGTCTCGGCTGGACTTGACGGTGCGGTTTATCACTGGGATCTTGATGAGGCAAAGCGTGAGGCTGAGTTCGTACAAAAAGGCGTGTCCTACTATTCTGCACTTTGCAATCGCGAAGGTACCGCCATTTACGCAGTGGGAGGTGATCGTTTGCTTAAGGAGATTGAGGTCCCGTCATCTCAACTAACTAAGGAATTTCTGTGCGATTCCACTCTGGGTCAATTGGTGTTGTCTGGGTCACAACGGCTACTTTTTGGTGCAGGGGCAGAGCCTGATCGTCCAGGAGCAATAAGAGCTTTCAAATTTCCGCTAACAGGAGAGTCGACTGAGTTTCAATGCCTCAGTGCTCCTGTTACACGTTTGCGCGTTTCCTTTGATGACCAATTTCTCTTTGCCGCTGGTGAGGATGGCGCAGTATGCATCTTCGAAGTAAGAGACAAAGAAGGACGTCCGACACGAAGGGAGGGTGATATTTCTCTGTCGGCCTCATCAGTCGCAGCAGCAGCAATCAGCGGTGGCTATGCTGGCAGTTCATCGTACCATCATGAAGGTTTTGGAGGGCATGGAGGTAACATGGCATCGTTTTCTGAGGAGATTCTGGTGACGAAATCCGATCTAGAGGAGAAGAACACATTGATGTTGGAACTAAAGAACAAGGTGGATGAACTCATGCTTCACAACGAATACCAGCTGCGACTCAAGGACATGACTTACAACGAGAACCTGAAAGACCTTACGGAGAAGTTCACGCATGAAATTGAGCTGGAAAAGAACAAGTACGAACTCTTGAGAGAAGACAAGAATGACATCGAAATGGAGTACGAGGAGAAGATTAAGCAGTTGGAAGAACACCATTTGCAACAGATGCAGGAGACTGAGGCTACATTCCAACAGAAGATCATGAAGGAAGTTGAGCAATATCAAGAGGTGCTCACCCAGCGTGAGGCGCAGAGTCAACATTGGAAAAGTGAACAGCAACGCCTCGTGACCACGCACGATAAATATGTGGCCGATGTGACCGAAGACTTCGAGCAACGCTTGAATGAGGATCGTCAGCTGCGCATGCAAATGGAGGAGGAGAAGGAGGAATTGGGTCGTGAGTATCGTGAAACGGTGGCACAGGTCGAAGCGGACGTGGACGAAGAAATCGAGGCTCTCAAGAAAAAATACGAAGACAAGCTGCAGGCTGAGCGCGAGGCAACACTGCGATTCAAGGGTGAGAATGGCATTATGAAGAAAAAGTTTTCTGCGCTACAGAAGGATATCGAAGACCAGCGCGACCAAATCAAACTGTTGCTAGAGAAGGAAAAAGAAGTGATCGAAGCCATCAAACAATTGGAAAAAGAGATCCAAGCTCTCAAACGGGAGATTCGCGCACGTGATGAGACTATTGGTGAGAAGGAGAAGCGGATTTATGACCTGAAGAAGAAAAATCAAGAGCTAGAGAAGTTCAAGTTTGTACTGGACTACAAAATCAAGGAATTGAAGCGAGCAATTGAGCCGCGCGAAAACGAAATCGCAGATATGAAAACGCAGATCAAAGAGATGGACCAGGAACTAGAGCTATTCCACAAAAGCAATGCACAGCTCGACGTGCTTATTGGAGAGCAGCGTCAACGCATTAATTCACTTCAGAAATCCATTGCCGGCCACCGTCAAATTCTAAGCGACCAACAAACATCAATGCGACGCTTCCGCTGCGATCTTCACGAGTGTGTACGCCATCTCCAGTCACCCAAGGAGCTGGCACTCCAGGTAGCGCAACTCTACAACAAATACGTAACCACCGACGATGGCCCAGGCGGCTTTGGGTCAGCCAGCGTGGGTACAGGAGGAGAAGTAGAAGCTGAAATTCAGCTCGAGTATGCCCGACAGAAGCAGTACCTTGAAAAATCTGTCCATGTTCTCAAGCGCAAGTACGCGGCTGATGCTCAGGAACACCAGCGTGAGAACTTGCGAGCCACGTCCGATAACATGCTACTCATTCGCGAGATCAATGATCTCCGCAGTGCCCTCATTGCTGCTAAGAACAATCTCCAGATGGAACGGGCCACTTTGGCTACTACTGGTATGGGCGCTTCCGCAATGAACCAGGATAAATTCAACGGTAGCAAATCCTTAGCGGCAGCATTGGAAGCAGCAGACGGAGACCCCGATGTGCTCATTGCCAAACAGAGAACCGAAATTGAAGAGTTGCGTCGGGTAGTGAAAGCTCTTGAAGACAAACTGGCGGGTGGTGGGATGGCTGGCAACAGGTCTGGCGATGTTTTCCCGCCGATCGGACGTGCCGTGGATGGATAGGTTGCTATATGCACACAACACTGGTGGAATACACTCAGATACATGTAGTGAACTGGAATCAAGATTTTTGGTTGCTTCATTTGTTGGTGCACTTCAACTGCATTGGTATAATTCATAACGGCTAGAAAACATTAAAACACGTTCAAACTTTGGACCAGGCGATAGAAACGGACTGGTACATTAGAAACCGACGGGATGGCGACTTGTCACGCTGCAATTATCTTAGCTAGCGGCAATGAGTGACGACCCGTATGACTTTGAGATCGCAATACCTGCAGCCTCTAATAATGCCAAATCGACAAGCAAGCACCCTAGCACCACCGACAGCGGCGACGATGCAAGTGATGTCAGTGGCAGTCTAAGTAACATGAGCGGTATCAGCAGTGACAACGACGACAACGATAGCGATCGCAGCATACGCCAACGAACTGAGTCAAATTTGAAGCAGCCAGCAATGAGTACCAGCGATTTCAGAACTCCGACTCCTTCGTCTGGAAGTGCGCTGGATAGAGCCAAAAACTTCCTGTCGAAGTATTCAAGTGTAGCCGTGGGCGATTCTAATGGAACCAACACTCGAACCAGGTGAGTATCATTTTACACTATATGAGCTCGTTGTCTGAAAGTATTTTGCGTAGCTCAAGCAGGCGACACATAAGTCTAGACTCGGATGACGATGATGATTCCATCGTGGAATCGTCTGGTGGTGACACAGAACTCATCAGCGATAAGAACGCAGGCCCCTCAAGTGCTATGGCTAGCTCCAAAATCCAAGACAGCGAAGCATTTCAAACTTCCGAATTCATCCCTAAACGTGGCGAAACAGGGCCCAAGCATGTCGACGCGCTTCAAGATGTCGATCAAGGTGGAAGTAGCCAGAGCAGTGATTCTGCTCCTTTCTCAAGCGCAGCTCACGTGCCACCAACAAAACATATAGCACCAACTTCACAGCTTGATGAAAGCAGGAGTGAACTTGAAGACAACATCGAATCTTTTCACAGCGGTGCATCAGAGGAGCGATCAGGAATTCTTCCTGTCACTACGACGCCATCGACAATGCAACCGAGATCAGTGTACCACGAGGAGAGCACTGACGATTACAACGAGTCATTTCAGGAGGAGAGTCTTAGCCAAAGTAGAGTCGCTGACAACTACCTTCACGGTATTCAGCGAAGCCAAGTCACACCAACGTTTATATCGCCGAAATCAGGCCAATCGATTGTGTCCGAGAGTGAAGTTTATGAGGAAGATGCATTCGAGGAAGATTCAACGGTGGCAACAACAGTCGCCAGTGTGGTGACACCCCACCTAGTGGCTAACACCATCGCCGAGAAAACGTTTGACTACTCAATGGACTTCTCTGACGATGAAATCGGTGGACACGCGCCGCTCCAAATACAGACACCCCAGTCAGTAATGAGTGATCGGGACCAACGAGACCCAACGCCTGAAAGCTCCGAATCGAGACCGTTATCTGATAACGAAGAGCAGAGTGAATTTCTCCAATCGGATAGTTTTCATGAAGTTGGGCGTGAAGACAATGGAAATGGTATCGTCGATCCTAAAGATCAACTAACTGTAGAACAACCTGTGGGCGCTATCAGTGAGGGATCAGCATCAATAACAGAACAGATACCAGAGGGCAACTTATACCAAAACGAGCCCACCTGTCCGACAGACGATAGTATTGTCGGCAAGGAGAATGATAAACAAGTACCAAGCGACAATGTCGTTAGCATACCTCAAATTACAGTGGCGTCGATACAAAAAGTCAAGTCTCCGGAAGCGAGATATCCAGCGGACGACTTGACTGTAGCTCGACGAGCGCGCGTAACTATCATCAGAGCCATTGATCTGAATGAAGAACAGTGTGTGGAGATGAAGGACGCTTGCACCCAATTTACTGGGAACCATGCAGCAATTCAAGCAGATCTGATTCCCGATGGTATGCACAACTTGTTCGTTTCGACGCCGTCTGCGCCTGCTACAACGCCATCACATAGTCTTGGTCACGAAAACGAAGTGCCTCCGCGTGATACAGAGCCTGTTCCTCGCCAAAATGAGAAACAACCGCCGCCACCTCCTTCCATATCACAGCAGCTTGGATCCACAATGTACAGTCTGGACGCGCTTAAATTGCCAATTACGACTTCCACGTCCATATACAAGCAACAGCTACTTGCGCTACAGGAACAAATTATGCAGAAGAAGTGTGAGACTGAGCGGATTGTTCGCGACAGGATGACTTTCCAGTATTCATCACTGCGAGGCACGGAACGAGTAAGTTGAGCTTGATTCAACTTGATTAATCACCTATCTTTACTCTTTCATGCAGTTTTTCGCAGCTCGACGAACTCAAAAGCTGGAGCTATGGGAAGCTCTTATGCGGGTGGACCCAACGCTCGACGAACGGAAGGCTCGTGAAGTAGCCCGCCTTGCTCAAAGTGCAACGACTAATCAAGGCTTGCGGTGAAGATGTTGTCCGATAAACGTGGTGCAGAGCTGCTATAAAACTAAAAGTAAATGGTTAACGTCCATCAGCACTGCATCAGCATTTAACTGTTCACAGCGTAAGCTTCTATAGTCAAAATTATTTGCTGATGGAGGCAAGGAGGGATTTACCGGTAACTGAAGTACTCAGCCATAAGCGCATCCAGAAGTCTCTTGCTTGTTTTGCGCTGACCAGTTCCCAACTTCATTACCCTCGTTTCGACTGAAGCAGCCTGCAAACACAATCAGTTCGCCAGTAGACCTCGTCGAACACATATAACTTGTACGATATAAGGCTTCTATAGAAAAAGAAAAATGTTATTTTATGCGGGTACACCGGTAGCATTCAGGGCGAGCACTGCGACCACGTACTCAAGTAAACAACAAAGCACAATAGAAAACCGCGTGCCATTAAGCATAAATAAGCTTACAACAAACATGTTAATCAAGAGAATTACGTTCCAACTGGGTAGCAAAGGCGGATGCCCAGGAAGTAACGCAGAGAGTCAAAAGGCAACAAGCTGTCAAAGCTGGTGACAACGATCCTATTTTCAAATTCAAATCTCCAAATCAGCATACTTTAATCAAGTCAAAATGCCCGCGAAAAAAGCGTCCTCGAGGGGACTCGAACCCCCAATCCCCGCCTTCGGAGGGCGATGCCTTATCCATTAGGCCACGCGGACACACTTGCCTAATGTAAAAACATTATACACCAACTTGCTAATATTATTTATTAACTTACTAATAAATGATATAATCGCTCGCCTAGATACGTCGCGGTAGGTAAAGTAGAACGAACGTAAGGCCACATCAGTACGCCGTGCTCTCTTACCTGTTTTTTCTTGCACCAAGTACCGTACATGAATCTTATTTCAGCATTAGGTACAAAAGAGTTTTCGTCTTGCTAGCAACAGCTACTCCGAAGATGCCGCGCCGATCATTAGCAGGCCAATACGTATGAATGCAATGAGTTTATAGATATGGCTAAAGGCTAGATAGGCTGTTGATCACGTTTTCATTACGTTCTTTCGCGCGTCAGCCGCTCACCGACTTCCGCTTTTTGGACCGAACCTGGGGCCAAAAACGACAGGAGCAGGTTGTACAGCTTCCGTAACGTGTAGCACCACTCCTCTGTTCTTTCAATTGGTTTATTGGTTCATTAAAGCTAACGAGGGAGCGCGGCGCAACCGCCACGCGTCTACGAGCAAAAAAGGATGTACAAGGCACGCCGGCGCAGCTCCACCTTCTACGGCAGCCGCACCGCCACCTCCCTCAAAGATACCTGCTGGCACTTGACGTCCCTTACAGGGTCACCCCCGGCACGGATGCGCCCGGCGTCGGGTGCGACGGGTCGTAGGACTTGCCCGGCTCAAACGAGGTGCCCGGCTCGAACGACTGACCGACGGGGCTGGTCATCGCCTGTGGAGAGCGTGGCACGCCGGCCACACGCATCGAGTGCTGCGACTGCTCCAGCTCTACCTGCTGCTGCAACGTGAAGCGTGGCTCAGCCAGAATCGGCACCGAGTCCTGACGGGTGCGCGTCTGCGGTGGGGCGCCGGTCACCGAGTCACTGCGCATCTTGGAAGACACAGGCGGGATGGCAGCAGGTGCCGCCGTCACAGCCGACTCCTTGCGCATGGCCATGATGACCTCCTTCTGGGCACGCTCCTCCGCCGTCACGCCACCCACCATGCCGTGGTTGCCGCCTGTACCGGCAGCGTTCGCGTAGTTGTTCGTATTGGAGCGCGGGGCCTCGAAGAACATGTCGCTCTGGCGATCCAGGTCGTCCTGGTCATCGCGCTTCCGCGTACGAACGTAGAAGGTGATAATGAGCAGCGCGAGAACCACCACGGCGGCAACGACAACAGGCACGATCCAGCTGGACGACGAAGAGGAGCTAGAGTCACCAGTGCCTGCGCTCATCGAGCCGCCAGAGCTACTCGGCGCCGCTGTGCCATAAATCGACGTGGTTGATGATGAGTCTAGCGCAGAAGACTGCGTGGTGTCAGTCGAGCCAGACGTCGCAGCCGCTACCGTAGCCGTAGGCGCCTCAGTCGTAGCAGTGGGAGCCTGCGTAGTCGCCGTCGGCGTCGCGGTCGTTGGCGTCGGGGTAGTGGCTGACGGAGCCTCCGTAGTGGCTTTCGGGGCCTCCGTAGTGGCTGTCGGTGTCTTGGTAGTCGTCGAAGGGGTCTTGGTAGTCGGTGTCGGCGTAGGAGTTGGCGCCGTGGTCGTCGTCGAGGTCGTCGAGGTGTCTGACGATGAGTCGGTATCATCATCTGAAGACGTATCCGTCGTCGTCGTTGTGGTTGTTCCCCCAGTGGTGGTGGTGCCTCCTGTGGTGGTGGTGGAGTTGTTGGTCTGCGCCGTGACGAGCACCAAAGCGTACAGCGCCAGCAGCAACAGCGCGCAAAGTTTTCTGGCGCCCATACCTGTCTCTGTGTTGTGTTGCCGCGAGCCTACTCGCTGCGGCTAGCAAGCTACCTGTGTCTTCTGCTGTCTACCTTCCGACCCTTCCGTCTGGGCCAGGTGAGGCGAATACTCCAGGTCAATGGAGTGAGTGCTTGTGAAGCGAAGTGCTGAGGCCTTGGCCAGTGGGAAAGTCCTTCGCCGCGCGGAATGAACGGCGAGCACAGGCGCCCAATAGAGTCGGTCAGGTAAAGACCTGCAAGCCCAATTCCCCCCAAAAGAAGGCGCAACCCGACAACTCGAGGACCAGATGGCACCAGCGATAGACGAAATGCCACATGAAACGCTTCCAATTTGGCACCCAAAAGCAATTCATGCCACATCTTGACAAGATGTGGCATGCAAGATTCTTGTGTCACCACCGTGAGCGTGGGCAGCTTCCGTCGCAGAGTGCGCATGCTTCTTGGACCAAAGTTTGGTCAAGATGTATGCTGGGCCTGAGCTAAAAGGCAGGCCCATTTGACCGATGCATGCCGCGGGTTTCGTTCGAGTCTCCAGGGTCTAGGAGTTATGGATACACCTTCGGATAGTCCACACCAATCGCGCACGCCACTTGTCAGTCGCCTACACGTTGGGGGAAAGCGTCTTCCCCCCCTCCGCGTAGCGTACATGCAGTCTTCCGAAGACTACATGTACGCTACGCGGAGTCCAACGACCTCGCCCGGCCCGTAATCGTAAGTTTGGATGGATCCCAAATGTTGCACAGCCAAATTTATTCCTATGGCTCCACGTCGTCACGCTCGCTGTTAATAAGCGACTGTGTGCAACGATGGTGGCATGGCCTTGAAGCGGGGCGCACCGCACCGAGACTACCTCGCCGATTCGGCGCCAAAATTGACCAAGTGATCCCAAGATTTGTGGCGAGGTTGAACCTACTGCAACGCGTGTAATATTATCGCAGGACATGTGCCTTGAGCTCCGATAGTTTCGCCTGCCTACAGTGCTCCGCTTGGTGGAGCGTGCTGCGAACGCAAATATAATACATGTAGTCGGTCATCACTTCGGCGGTCCTGCAGTTCAGGAAGCAGAGAGAGAGAGAGCATCAAACCGTGGGATGACGATTCAGAAACTGAAATGTGTGGAACATGTAAATGGGCTAGGAAAGTCAAGCTGTATTATTTATAAAACGGCTTCTTCGACCCCATAATGATGTCGAGGAAATCAACGTCCAGCCGCGGCAGGCAGCTTGATAATGGCCGCTCGGCCGCCCTACGAGCTGGAGCAACCTCGACAACAGCAGACAGAGGCTTTGTCGAATTCCACCCCTCCATGTCACTGGAGAATGCACCAACGCTGGCCGATTGTCTTGTAGTGCCTTCTGAAGCCACGACCATTTCAAAAATCAAACATCAACCTCTGTCCGCACCATACACAAATGAGGCAACGCTGGAGAGTATCCTCGCGGATCGCCTTCACGTGTGGACTAAGGTGGCGGAGGTATTAATATTTTTTTTCCTACATGTAATGATGCCTCACGGGTCTCGTGCCGAACTCTGAACTGAACGACCACCCTTGCAACAGATGATCGAGAAACTTGGGCCTATGGAAGCCTACCAAGGAGACGTTCACGCCCTGCAGAAGCTGCTGCAGCTCCACATTCTGTGCAATATCCTTTCCAATGTTTCATTTCTTATTCAATTTGGCATTCCTGAACGACGCGATAGTTTCTGTAACTATACACACAGCAGCGCGAGACGCATCTACGCACTCTCCAGCTTACTCTGCTGCAGGAAGGACGTTCTGTTCCATGCGTTAAAGCCATACCGGTAACTCTCAGCAATAAGTAAGCACCCATTTCCAGAATGTCCTTTGTGGACCGTAACCATTTCTCAAACTGTCGAACACAATAGTGACAATGAAGACGACCAAGACATCGACCCACCAAACGCGAATCACATCGAGTGGCAAGAAGATCAAGAGCGACACCTTGATATTGTGGACTATGGCGCCATGGATTTGATTGAGCTATCGGAACAATTCTCGTAAACAAGCACACTCCACTGACGAGACATAATTGCTTCTTCCTAGTAGATAAACCGATAATGAATGGGGCAGTAGCCTAGATCGGTTTCCCGTCCAAATCTTCCTCATCCATAGGAGCGCCATCCAAATCTTCACCATCGAGTGGCTCGCCATCTAGATCGTCTTCAGCCGTGTCTCCGTCTAGCGGTTCTCCATCTAGCACTCCATCGTCCATCAGCTCACCATCAATATCATCGCTGTCTTCTACGATCGGCTCTCCATCAATAGGTTCGCCATCCAAGTCATCTACGTTTCCATTTCCTTTGCCATCTTCGCTGATCGTCTCTGCTGTCTCATCGTTTGTATCAATATCTGGTGCAGTCGGGGTGGCCGTTTCCCTTACGTTGCTAGTGGTATTTGATTGAAAACTGGGGTTTACTGTTGACCCAGGAGCAATCAGTGCAGTTGGAGATGTAAACTCCTTCAGCCACTGCAGTCGCACTGCCAACCGCTTCGCATCTCCAGTGGCCATAATTCCTGACTGTCGGCATGTTTTCCGTAATCGCTCTTGATCTGATTCTCCAATGCCATCAAAATTCAGGCTGTGGGTGGCGATATACTCGTCCTCTTCCACTTTTCGCAGGAATGTAGCATGGAGCCCCACGAGCACGGCAGGGGGAAACAGACTCCAGCTTTCCCATGCCGTCAGCACGTTCATCACCTTTTCCTTCATCGCATTTGCAGACATGCGACCAGCGATGCTCTTGTGGGCAATGCGTAGTGTATCCATAATCTCTGGCAGGCACTCTTGAAATGTCGTGCGGAAAAGCGACGCGTTCTTGACAGCAGCCGAGCTGTTGTGCAAAATGTCGGACGTCACGTACAATAGACCAACAAGAGCCACGCCCGAAGAGGTCGAGCTTTTGAAAGACTCTAAAATGATGTTGACCAGATCCACCGCCGCCTCTGAATTGTCCAAAGCAAAACCCATCGTCTTTTTCACGGATTCTCGCTCCAAGGTTAGTTCATCTAGCGATTCCTTGAAAGTGTCGTAGTCCTCATTCGATAATCGGTTACGCTCTCGTCCTCTCTCCATATCGCGAGCTCGTGCAATTTGTTGCCCTGTCAGCAATTTTTCGTTCTTTTCCCCATATCCTTGACTAAATCCACCTCGACCACCAGGACGCCTACTTTCTCGGCTCGACTCATGTCGGTTTTCATCATGCTGCCGGCCATCCTTCCGAGGACGCGAGCGTGAGTGACGACTACGTTTTCGTGAACTCGAGTCATCCGATGACAATGAACGGCTTCGACGCCCGCGGCTTCGACTTCGACTGCGTCTTTTACGAGTACGCCGGCGACTTCTTCGACTACTGCGATCGTCACCAGAGCTGCTTGAGCTACTACGAGAACGATGACGACTACCACTTCGGCTTCGTCGACGGGACCTTCTTGGGCTTCGACTAGAGCTTCGGGATCTGCTCCGACTATAGCTCCGGCCTCTGCTATGGCTCCGGTGTGAGGCACCTCTGTCGTGATGGCTGTATCGTCCAGACGATCGAGAATGAGAGCCCCGTCTCCGATCCCTAGGCGATCGAGAAGGCATCTTGGGTGGTATCCACACAGGACCTTCGAGTGTCATCTGAAACGGTTTTTCACGCCAGGAGTGCTCGTCATCCCCCATCGCGAACGAGTAGACTCTCCATCGATAGTACAGCGCCAAAGCAGATTGGGGATCGAAGAGGAAGCTGTAGGCCTTGTTGTTTGCTTCGCGCATGCGCACCGCATTCTCAAACTGGAGTCCATCGGCAGCCACATAGTGAGCTAGATGATTCACGCGCCGCCTTACCTCTTGATCGATAGGTATCTCGATCGTAACGGCCTGCTTTCCAGTTATATCGATATTGGCAGTTGATGCAGCAGGTGTGGCAATTACCAGTGGATTGGGCACTACCGACGGAAGTATAAGACCAGGAGCGTGAGCCTGAGGCTGAATCTTCACTGCTTTGCCCCATCCAACAATCATTGGTTGACCCTCCAACTGCAGTATTACATTTAGAGCGCGTCAGGGGACAAATTGACGGGGCATGTCAAAACGAACGTACCTGCTTGTTATCCAAGTTGATGCGAGCATCGTCAGCATCTCGCCGTTTGTAGAAGCTGACAAATCCACAATTGCGTTTGCGCGCTCGTTCTTCTTCTGATCGCGGCCACATGATTTTCACTGAGTATACCTCTCCGTAGCGCCCAAACTCCGCCTGCAGCCAACCAAAGCACCATTAGTTTCTGTCAACCCAAAGTAGCATACACTGATTATAACGCACCTGCAGAACTTCCTCTGTGACAGTCGGTGCCAAATTCCCCACATACAAATTCGTTGTCTCCGGGTCTCCATTGTCGAACGATCCTTTCGTCATACCAACACCTTCCATCGAGACAGGCGCAGGGCCTCGCTCCTTCATTTCCTCCAGAAACTCATCAATAGCACGTCGTTTCTTCGGCCTGTGTATTGTTTGAAGCATCTCTCTCTGCTCGGCATCTTTTTGCTTGATCTCTTGTAGTAGTTTGTCCATCTCCGACACCTTTTTCCCCGATGAAGAAGAAGCGACCTGTTCCTTGCCCTTGAGTCGGTACACATCTCTGCTTTGCACTGCCGACTGACTATGGCCCTGAGCTGCTTGTGTTCCTCCTCTAACAAATGCTTTGCCTTTTGTATCGTCCTCATTATCGAAAGACGCCACGAACGTCGCGTAGATTCTGGCAGCTTCCTCATCTGCTTGCCGTTTCTTGGCTTCACGATCTTCTCGCTCCTGCATTTACTTCCGTCGTCAGTGAATTAAGCCACGAATTAACAGTGCCGTTAGCGCCGGCAAACCTTCTGGAACTTGGTCTTCTTCTGGTGGCCCAGCACGAAGCGCGCCAGTTTGTCGTCCGTGAGCGACGTTAGAGAGCTGGGCTGCATCTCTGTCTTCTCCATCCCCCACGGCAGCTTCGACTGAGCGGGGTCCTGTGCGGACGGTGCCGCCGCGTCCTCCTCGGAGTGACTGGGGCGTCTCCGTCCCATGAGATCGATCGATGGTGAAATGGATGTGTAAGTGGACCACCTCTAAAACAATCATATTTATGGTACTCGAACTTTTATTTACGGGACAATGTCCAGAGTGGAGCAAGTCCTGCATGTGGTTACGCCGTTTATTCGATTTGGCTTTATTGCTCTGTCCTAGTGTTATTGTGGCGTTATTTGCCCACGCCCCTAGCCCAGAGTCCGCCCCATCTCATCCAGAACACCGTGGCATAACCACCAAACTGCAATGAGAGGCCTAATCCTGGCGCGACTGCAGCTTCTTCGACGTGATTCCCTTGGGTGTGATGATGTGAACGACGGCACCCCAACCGGAGAGAGCGTCGCGGTTGCAAGCAGACAGCAGGCACTGTGAGAGCGTCTCGAAAAGATCCTCCTCCTCCATGTCGGGCTTGTACATGGACTCGCACATGCCGTAAAGCGCCTCCTCCATAGTGCCGGCCACAACAAAGTCCTTGGTCATCATCTCACATCCAAGGCAGTCCATGCTGGATAGAAAAGGCTTGTTGTCCTCTGTCAAGCCAGCGATCACAGGCTCCACGAACCACGGGCCGAATCTCTTCTCGTACATCATGTTGGACAGCAGCGCACTCAGCGTCTTGGGCTTAATGTCACGCTCCTCGTTCATCTTGTACATGTTGATCTTAAACTTAAGTAGCTGCGACACTGACTGCACGTCGGTGGCGAGGCCCGCTAGGCCCAGGAACGTCTTGTCGGTCACACGGAACACCTTTTGGAAGTCCATGGCCACTGTCTGTGCCTGCATGCCTAGTCTGGTATCGCTGTTGGTTTACAATAAGAATAATGTTAGCAATGGCGCTTAGAAAATAGATATTATGAAGGCGCACTATTGTCAGTATAAGGCTCTAAACTTACCATGCAATGCCAACGCAATCTTTGCCCGCCATTGCGATGATCGCCGCTCCGTTGTACGACAAAATGGACTAATATGCGCAGCAAAAGCAAATACAAACCACGGATAAGTGAGCCGGCTCTTCCTTTAAACACAAGAAGAGTGATTATCCTGCCGGTGAAGCACAGGACACTCGTACCATGATGCCTTCGACAGCGCTGCAAAATTCTGTTAGATTTCTCTTTTCGAAGGGGGGAAGCGTGGTGGATCTTATGGATGTTGCTCCAAAAGGCTGAAACAACATTTTGAGGTTGCACCAGTGTTCAGCACATAATTGGTCCCGAAAATCTGGGACCCCGGAACCAAACCAAAACCCATTTTTGGAATTAAAGACAATAATTTATTGCTGATATTTATTCAGACGAGAAAAAAACATTACAAATTTTAATGGGTTTTTTTCGTCTGAATGCCATCCAACGGCATGGTCTATTTGGGTTATTCGGAACCCACATCAAAAAGTCCAATTTTGGGTCGTAATAATATAGGCTTGGATGGCATTCAGACGAAAATAACCCATTAAAATTTTAATGGGTTTTTTTCGTCTGAATGCCATCCGAGCCAATCAGCATACGTCACGACGAGATTTTGGAACTATGTTATAAAGCCAACCAAGCATTTATTATTACGGACCCATACTTGACTTTTTTGAATTGGTTCCGAATAACCCAAATAAACCGTCCCGTTGGATGGCATTCAGACAAAAAAGCCATTAAAATTGTAATGGTTTTTTTTCGTCTGAATGTCCTCTAACGGGATCTCTAATTCGGAGAGTTCGTTTTGGCGGGCTCAATTGGGATTGTCAAGAAAGTCCACAACGCCACAATGCTCGACACGCAAACGGTCCACGACTTCTCCATGCATGGAGCTTACATAGTAGCACAGCACGGCTTCTTTGGCGGAGCATTAAACAGAGAGATTCAGTCGTTGTAGCGAGCTAGTCCCCGAAAAACGATCTCCGTCCGAGTTAGAGATCCGTTTAGAGTCTACCCCCTATTTGGTTTCGGTTTGCAGAATGCGTCCAATTTCTACCAATTATTTGCGTTCTTTACCCAGCTTCCCGTCTCGCATCAAGCGTCGACGACACCGACACCGCCGCCGCCGAAGCAGCTCCGCATCTGACGCGAACTCCCCAGCGCTACTCACATCGTCCGATTCGGAGTCATCGTCCAGCGAGTCCTTTCCTCGGCGCTTGCTGGCCACCCCCTCACTCTCTCTGCTGGCTCCACGGCGCCTGCGACATCGCCGCCCACGCAGCCTCAGTCCAACCTCCGTAAGTTCTGTCCGTTCCTTCGGCTCCAGCTCCACCATGGCGACGACAATGGTCCCTTCGCCGCCTTACATGCTGGGTGAGCGCCCCACTCCAGCTCACGGCGGCTCAGGCGCGCCCTCTTTCCGACAGGTGCCGTTTGTACGCGCCAGTGAGCGCGTGGAGAGCGGTGTCAAAGTCCGCAAGCAGCTTCGCAAATATCTCAGGGCGGCGTCGGCCACGGAGCACATGGTGGCACAGACCCACTTGAGCGATGCTTGTCTGCCGGCGTTACAGCCGCAGGAGGTGGCCCAGTCCTGCTTCCAGGACTTTTTCACGCAGATGCGAACGTACAATCAGGTGCTCGGCAACAAACACTTGGCAGCTAGCAAGGCCTACATGGATATGACCAAGCCACTCGAGAATTCTGGCAAGTCGAAGCGATGGGCACGAGATGTTTACAACTTGGTTCAGCGCTGTGTGGCCGACGTGCAGATGGCTGAGAAGAAGATGGACAAAGCACGACAGCGCGTCACGCGAGCGGCGGATGAACTCGCCCACTGGAAGACTGTGCTAGCTGCTAATGAAGCTACGTACCAAGTGCAGCCAAACAACCCAGAAGTGAAGCGTGCCTTCCAGACGGCACAGTACCGTTTCTCGAATGCTTTTAGTGAGGATGAAACAGCCGGCGCTGAATACGACGATGCGGGGACAATGTTGATAAGCGCGATTGCAAGACGAGATGAAGTCGTGGAAGAAGCTTCGGAACTCTCGCAGAGTGTGGAGGAAGATCGACTAGACACGCTATTGATTGTTATCGGGCAGTTCGTGGAGACCAAAGTGGCGATTTTACAGGCAGAAATTGAAGCGATGGCGGATTTGCAGCGAACGCTCAAGGCTATGGACCGTGACTCGGTTGTACAGCAGTATATCGTGGATAGTATGGCGCCAGAACTTACTCATCGACATGCAAAGGCATTAGGATTGATGGAATGGCATCGCGTATCATGGCGCTACGAACAGCAATCGCGGCATTCAGCCGAACCGGATAGTTACTTGTCAATTTCAGGTTCACCAGAGGATATTGCCAAGCTCAAGGCTTCCGGTGTGTCCGAGAAGGACGTCGAGATCATCAAGGATTTTGTATCGAGTTGCTTCGTAGAGCCTGAAGCTGCTCTTCTCCCTTCTGCCTCACTAACCTCTTCAGGAGCATCATCAAAACACCGCGGCAAGTTCACAGATGCGTCGGCTTCAGCTACACAGTCAATGTATCGCTTAGGCGTTGTTCGACGCATCATACTGGATTGCCTTACGCATCAACGAACTCACGATCGCGAACTGACACGTGAAGGATATTCAAGACTTGCGGCTGCGCTACGTTTGCTGTTAGATGCATGCCTTGCTCAGCATGACACACGCTCTACGAAGCACCTCATGAACATGTTGCAGACATTTTATCGTAAAACCAGCAAGGACGGGCAGGAGTATCTTCATGCTGCGCTGAAAGATCATGCAGCGTGGCGTGTAGCAGCTTTTTGGGGAGACGCGTTACTAGAAAGTGTGGCGGAAGAACTGAGCAAGACATCGACGGACACTCCATGGTATTTCCTGCCTGATCCTGAACGAGCGCAAAAAGTTCTGGAGGTGCACAATATCGTCTACGGGCAAGCGTCGGCCTACTTGTATCATCTCTCTAGCTTTGGCTTTACGCGGCGACAGCTTCTTCAATACGCGCGCAATGTGTGTTTTGCATACGAACTGGGCGAGGAGCAGCGTATCAGCTTACTTTCATCCGTTCAAGGCATGGCGTTGGAGCGGTTGCAGGAGGACGAATATGAAGAGAAGCGAGAAGAACCCATGGGGATGGAAGAGGATGACTGGCAGCGTCCTTCTGGACGTGATAGTGAACTATCTGGTCGCAGCAGCAGTAGAGTTCCTGCAGCACGAACCGCCGATGTGCAATTCACGTCGTTCACGCTACCAGACTGGTCGTCGTTCTCAAGTGGTCGTGGTATGAGTAGCACTAGTACTGATGGCATTGTATCGAAGTTTGGTCGTGGGCGTGGAGAGTCCAGTGCGTCTAATGCAACTACTGTGATAGAAGGCTCCTCAATCACGGCATCATACGCTGGCAGTGTACGCGATGTGGAGGAAATGAAGATCATTGCGTCCACCGTTGTAGGTGAAGACGGTGACGAATCGTGGGAGAATCTGTTTGGTACTTCGGTCGCATCAGGATCCTCAACAGGGGACGAGCCAACGCCTTCCATATTAGGCATTGATGATGATTCATCCGAGTCTAGCGACAGCAAACACAAGGATAAACTGATGAAGCGCCGTAGAAACTCGCGCAAATTTAACGATCAATTACGACTGGCGCGCAGTATTCCGCTCAGTCTCCGGATTAACGAGGAGGAAGTGAGCGAAGAAGAAACTACTGCGACACCAGTAGTATCAGCAAAGTCCGAGTCCAAACAACCACCACTACCCCCTGGGCCTCCTCCTACGTCGTCCGTGTCAGTTTTACTGCGACATCGGTCTACTGATAACGTCTTCGTAGCTGCTCGTGAGGAGGCCGATGACCTGCCGCCAATGCGCCGGAGTGCATACCACACAGCTAGACATGATCACGGCATCGCTATGGACGACAACGGAAGCGTGAAGTCGGAGCGGAGGAGACACAGAAAACTACACAAAGCACGATCAGTTGCCAGCATCGACACTTCCATGCTTAGAGCGGAGACCGAGCCGGTGTTCAATTGCAGTCGCTCTGTCGCCAATCCTGCCACTGGGATGGACCAGATCAAGACTATTGCTGCTCGGATGAAACAGAGACGCAAGGAAATCTCCAATGGGAAGATCGACTTCGTAACACTGACGCGTACTCAGAGTGATGCCACGGGGTCGGCATCACCTTCTCCGGATGCACCAAAGGAGCCACCCACACCAGAAAAGAAGAAGGAGACCACGACACTGTCTGGTGTAGCAGCTCTCCGCGCTCGATTCGAGAACAAATGAAGTGTCTAATACAAAATCTGATGAGCATCTCAAATACCCGTAAGACAGACTGAGAGCCCTAATGGGGAGCAAGTGAAGAGCAATTAGTGAGTGCCATCTACAAGAATCTCCAGAGGTTTCTCTCTCTAAAAACGACCTCCAGCTTTGGGAGCTTTGCCCTGGTACTTGTCTGGCATCTCAAAGTTCGCCTTGGTGTCACTGGAGTGCACGAAGAGGCGGCCGCACACAGGCATGATGTCCCACTCGAGACTGAGAGTCACGTTGGCGCCACGCAGCTCGTCGTACTGATCAGCCAGGAAATACTTGACGCCCTCGTCCTGGAACTGCAACTGGCCTGCGGCCTCCTTTGTCTGCACGATCTTGTCCCAGATCACCACCTGATTGCGGGAGTTGCTGGCGCTCTCGAAGTCGGCCATCACGTACACGAAGAGCTGCTTCACGTTCCAGTTGAACACGGAGCTCAGGTCTGTCGTAAGATAGGTGGATGTTAGCATACAGATAAAGAGAAGTTGCTACTATAGTCAACGAACGCACCGGCGTCCAGGTCGAACGAGAGTGTAGCGCGGTCAGCCTTATCACGGTAGTTGCGCAGCGAGTGCAGCTTGGTCATCTCCAGACGCCTCACGACAGGCTCTGGCTCATGCAGGAACGTGCTGATGGCTGTGAGGGTACACATGATGGCAAGAGCCATCAACGACGTGAAAAACACGGAGTTCGCACGCGTCCAGACCGAGTACATGTTGCCACGCGGAGGATGTTCGCCTAATGCTCTAATGCGTACTAATGTTGCTGTGTGATTGGGTGAAATTAGTCACGACAATTACAGGACCCAATTACAGGACATTTACAGTTTACGGTAGGCACATGCATTGTTACAGACATCCACACCCTGCTACATTCTCTAATAAAGCTGCAGCTTCTGTTTGCTTATACTGCGGAGGCGGGGTTTGCAGTGGCGAGCATGACGACAGGAGCTGGCTGCCGGTCGACTCCAGCGTTTACGAGCTCCGCGACCAGGAGTTGTGCGGTACGCAGGCAGCGCAGGTGCATGAGCGTGTTAGCTGCCACTAACAGCCCGACGAAGAGCCCAACGCTGCTGGAGTAGTAGTATGTGGACTCCATGTACTCATCCTCGGCGTTACTGTCACTGTCGCTGCCGCTGTCGTCTGCATAGGTAAACATACTCCCCGAGAAAACCAGTGTCACTACCAGCCACCACATGTTGAGGATCAGCATAACGTAGTTCGCCCAAATGTACCAGCGCAGCCACTTCAGTCGCATCGCGTCCACAGGTGGCCGCGTGCCATAGTAACCCATAAATGCTGTGAGCAGACCCAACGTGCCTAGAATAAACGGCTGCAGGAACAAAAAGGTCGCCACGTAGTACGCCAACAAGCACCCAGCCATCCAGCGGCACTTTTGAAGGAACGCGAAGCGCATACTGTCCACCTCGGCGTCACCCGAGGGTCCAATCGGGGCCATGGCCATGACTGTCACGTACGGGTGGCTCGGGTTTGCGCTGTTAGGCCCGCTCTGATAGATGCCTTGTGGGGCGTTCGGGTTCACAGGAATGTTGCTGCCGCCGACCAGATGCGACTGGATCTGGCTGATGTTGCCTAGTGGCTGCGCTACGGCGATAGGTGGGAGCGTCGAAGCCATTTTCATCGCGCTGGGCGTCGGCTGCGCTGCCACATACGGCGCGTTTGAGGTTTGAACGTCTTCCTGGGTGTTCGCAGGAGTTGATGTCGTCGCCGTGGCTGTCGTGGCGGCCGTTGGCGCAGGAGCTGTAGCTGCAGCTGCAGAGGTCGGAGCCGGAGCATGCTCCTGGCTCGAGTTGTTTGCGGGGTTCATCGTGTTGTCTGGAGTGTCGATGCCGGAGAACTGGGAAAGTTCCGCACAATTGACCTTGGGAGTTGCACACGGCTGCGTGGGACTTGGCAATGTATGCGGACTGGATATCCAGTCCGACCTCCGAAGGGGTATTGTCCAATGAAAGAGTGGATCAGATTCAAGTTTCATCCAATTATAAAAGGGTGTTAAAATGTGGTGCTAGTGTACCCTTCTGTACCCAGCCGTAATCCAGTAACCTCTTGTTGACAGGTTTACAGGGTTACTCTATGACCTAAAAAAATGACGTTTCTGGCTTGGCGTCACGCCACTCGAGCGTATGCGTCGCTGGGCAGCCGTCACTTCTCGCTCGCGGCACCTGGCCTTCCACCTTATCGTGTCCTTTTCTTTGGTACGGACGACGTGTCGCTCGCCACACTCAAGGCGTTGCACGCCAACAGGTGCGCGCATTAATTGGTTTGTATGGTTCTCGTGCCGCAAGCTTAATCCTGCTTGCTTGTGTACACTACAGCAATGAGGAGAAGGGTGACAGCCGTCTCATAGAGCACATCGAGGTCGTTTGTCCATCGGACCGCCCCATGAACGGCCGCAAGAAAGATGAGCCAGTGCCAGTCAAAAAGTTCGCGCAACGCTGCGGCTTCAAGGTCTACGACACGCCATCGCGCCTCAAGTCCCTGAAGTCCTGGGACTTCCCTGTTACGGATCACTTTGACGTGGGTGTGGTCGTTTCCTTCGGATACTTTTTGGTACGTGCATGGCTATCTACAGTGACGCTGAGACCAACCACCAATGCTCTTGATGTGTTTTTGCAGCACCCACATCTGCTGAAAAATTTGCACCATGGTGCCATCAACATGCATCCGTCACTATTGCCAAAGGTTCGTGTATTGAAAGTGAAGCTGGCCTGAAATCTTGGAACTTATGGCGTTATTTGATGATTGCAGTACCGGGGCCCTGCACCGATCCACCACGCTCTGTTGAATGGTGACCCAACAACTGGTGTATCAGTGATCGAGATCGACCCGAAGGCTTTCGACGTTGGGCGTATTTTACTCCAGAAACCTTACGATATCAAGCGCGACATCCAGTGCCAGGAGTATGCTCAAGCAGGTATTTCCGTTGGGGTTTACAAATAATAATTTTGTGTGCTTTCGTGTACACAGCCTATCAAAGGAACTCGCAACTTTCGGTGCAGAGTGCATCGTGGAAACTCTGACTGATTTGCCGACACGTAAGAAAGCAGCAGTAGTGCAGGACAATGCAATCGCTAGTAAGGCTCCCAAACTGACGTTCAAGGATGGCCTTATCTCACTCGACGAATCAGCTAGCGATATTTTCCACGTGCGTCGGGTTCAAGACTTACTATGCGCTCACATTTATTCGTGGCTGTACAATTGATTTCTAGCGGTGGCAAGCACTGAGCAGCTCAGTTGGAGTGAATGTCCAATTTAGAGGAAAGGTGGTCAAGTTGATTGAAGCCCGAATCCCGACAGCCGAGGAGCTTCAATCGGGTGCGTGCATATTACATCGGAGTTGTTAGTCTGATAGGGTGTAGTATGCTGACAGAACCTACCATTTTGCTGTACCTGCTTTTCGTTCCAGTTGAAGCCGACGAGGCTCGCAACGGACCAGCAGCGACTGGGACTTTTTTCTTTGAAAAGAAACGACAGGCTCTTTGGTTGCGATGCGCTGATGATTCATGGTTGCTTATTACAAAGCTGCAGCAAGCGGATCGCAAGGTTGGGGGCGCTCTTGACTTTTGCAACGGATACCGGTTGAAGAATATGCAACGCGAGCGGTTCGAGAAAGTGACGACTGGGCCTGTCAACAGCAAGCTCTAAATGCGCGGCATATCATTTTGGACAGCATCAAGTGTAATGAGCTAGACCCGTACAAACTACATCCCACGGATTTTGAAGCGTCAAGTTCGAGATAAAAAAAAATGGTGAAATCAACTGAATTCTGTTCGGCTCAAGTGATTTCGTTGGGTCGAGCTGAAACCCATCGTTCACCAATGATATCTTTTGAAGCATGACTATTACTTGAATACTGGAATATCTTAATTGTAATACTTGGTAGAACCACCGATGCTAGAGCCATTTTTAATGGTGATCACCTCCTGTATTTCAAAATGTGTACAACTGCAGCACACGAGAGTTCGTTTTTCTATATCAACTACAGTACAGTGCTGGCCATAATTTTGTGTGGATCACTATTTTGCAAATAATTAGGTCGATTTGGAGCAAATAAAGCCAAAATTGCGTAGAATTGCTATTTAACCCCTTGGACGCGGAGCCTTGCAATATGGTTTTATGCTGTTCTGAACAGCAACCACGGACCGCCTCGCCAAAAGAAATGTATGCTCCGATAACGCATTGTTTAAATAGCAATTCTACGCAATTTTGGCTTTATTTGCTCCAAATTGACCTAATTACTTGCAAAATAGTGATCCACACAAAATTATGGCCAGCACTGTACATTTTAGGCATAGCTGCGTGCCTCCTTTAAAGTTTTAATTAAAATAGGCGTTTAATTAATAATGAACGGGATGCACAGTATTAGTGTTGAGCACGCACGTTTATAATACTACACGTAGTATTGTATCAGTACTATACAGTACAGCAGCTACTTCTACATGCCTTAATTTTGATCAGTCGTCTAATATCAAAATAATTTGGCCACTCTGACATATTTTTATTCTCAATCACCACAATTGATGATCGAATTAAAGAATCAGCTTTCCTGGACGTGAAAGTATATATTACTGTCTACATAGATATGTCGTCGAGCGGAGAAGAGCGGAATATCTCCACTTACTGATGGTTTGTAAAATGAAGCAATAATGCTTGATGTGGTTAAGATGCCTAATTTAGGGTGCAGAGGCACCGAGGTTAAAATAGGTAAAATGTACTTCATGGTGCCACGGTGCCGTAATAAACAGATAAACTGTAAGGATCACGTTCGTAAGTGCAGGAAGCAAACTTTGTTGATATATCGATACAGAAGTCAGTTCTGCTTCCTTATTTCTGCAGCCAACAACAGCCCTCCTTTTGTTTTTGGCAACCCCTTGGTAGTGTCGTCGCCCGATGATGGCCATGCATTCGGAGAACACATGCATACTAGTAACAACATGTTATTGTACATGTATTTTTGTTATTAACTATTGTATTTCTTTGTTGTATCACGTACTGTTGCATGCAATCTGGTTTGTCGTGCACTATACAGCCGAGTTGACTCAATGCACTTGTTTGTCACCAAGGAAAACGAAAGGGATTGCATCGTACAATCCGATAGTGAAGACCAGGAAGGCCTAACTCACTCTTCATCGAGTAAGTTAAGGCGGATGGTACAGCATTGTACAACGCGGTGCCACACAAGACGTTCTTGGGGTATGCATCCTAACGCGAACTCTTTAGTAGAAGCAAGTCCCTATGATCATATTATGTACTAAAAACGATATCAATGTTCACAGCAAGTATCTTGGTTGTTTACCTATATAAGTTATCCGCATTTTCCGCTAGAAAAGCTGTTACCGACATTCGCTTTCACTGATGCCTCAGGAACAGACAGAGATGAGCTTCAACAATGCAACCATTATATTAGTTGAAGTTGCCTCTAGTGAAGGTGGCTCCAAAGGCCATGAGAAAACAGAGCAATAGGTCAAAACGTCACATCTGGAGTCTGAATGTCGGTGTGCATGTATATCTTTCCAAAATCACGTGCTGTATATTAGTATTAGTAGTAGAGGCGTGGAGGGGCAGATCCGTACGTTGACGTCCACAAACAAACACCAAAACTCGCTCTTAATTATCCTTTAGTCACGATGGTGCATTATTATCCCACTACTTTGCGACGAAGTTGTACTCTACTTTACAACTTGTACATATATAGCAATCTAAGCCGGAATTTGCAAATAAAAGATCATGGGTGTAACTATAACCTTTTTCTGGCCGTCAGTTTGCAGTCCGACCAAGTTCCATGGATTGGAAAACGTAATATTGTAACTTAACGAATCAAGCATGTTATCTTTTTGTCTAGCTTGTGTACATACTAGTATATACCATTGCTGCCGTAGGAAGTATACGGCAAATTTAAGAATACTACATATATGTTAATTAAGATACCAATGTAAACTATTGAATGTACATTGGGTATCGCAACTTTTACGGTTAGTTTGGATGCGGAGCCTATTTTACTCTATCGCAAGTTTAGAGTCCATCTGATTTTCTAGCTGTCAAAACTTCACATCTCAAGATTGGTTTTCGCCATTACGCACACCAGCGCTGTGACGGGGAGAACTCAATTGCAACTTTGCCAAAAGTGCTGCCAGAACTCCGAGTCGTTGTCATCTGGCCCTCCTTGACTCCCGACCACTCTCAGTTTTGCCTTCAGGTCGACTTGAGCTCTTCATACCCAACACCATGCTGACTGCTGCTGCTTTCGTGTCGGCTGCAGCTTTCCTGGTTACCTCGATCCCGAGTGTTGAGGCTCATGGTTACATGCTCATCCCAGAGTCTCAGTTCAAGGGCTCCGCAAATTCAGCGTGGATTGTTCAGATCGACCCAGTATGGGCCAGTGACAAATGGGATGGCAACAACCCCAAAAGTGTAGACACATTCAAATCTCTCAAGGCCGCTAACAACTTCAAGGACTTGAAAACTCTCATGGACGACACTTCAGTGTATGGCGCCGACTGCGGTTTCACGAATCCGAACGGCACACCGCAGCCAATTCCTACCGACGGTAAGGCCACCTTCTCTCGTGCTCTAGTGCATCACGGTCCGTGCGGGATTTGGCTCGACGACAAGATGGTGCTCTACGAGGACGACTGCTTTGCCAAATACGGTAACGAGAACCAGGACATTAAGTCGATCTTCCCCGTGGACTACTCGTCTTGCAACAATGGTGGATGCAAGCAGATGCGCTTCTACTGGTTAGCTTTCCAGGGTCTGAACAAAAAGACTGTGTGGCAGTCCTACAGTAAGTTTCACGTTGCAATTTTACTAAAGGTTCGAGATTTGATTCTCTAACTAGAATTTGTGTAATATTGCAGAGGACTGCATCCCTCTGAAGGGATCAGGAGGTGGTGGTTCGTCGACAACCCAGACGGAGAGTTCGCAGACGCCCGGTGACGTCTCGCAGACTACGTCGAGCGGCGATTCTAACAGCCCTTCCAGCGGTGCCTCCAATACTCCTCCCAGTGGTGACTCGAATAATCCACCCAGCGGCGACTCTCCTACGACTCAGGGTTCATCGGCCGAGACCCCGGAGGTTACGCCGGCCCCGTCATCCAAATGCAACGGTCGAAAGCGCCGCTACTAAGCTTTGTTGTGTTTTACCAGTGTTGAGAGAAGATACTGGTAGTGTAGCTTCGCTGATCAGGCGATCCTCGGTCTTACGTGTAAGATGACTACGATATGTGATACAAATTCAATGGAAGTGTGTATACTTGTACCGCCATTTTGCCAGCTTGTTTGCTGGCATCTTCATGTGTATTTGAAGGTATCCCACTGGAATCCAGTTTCCAGCAGATCTACCCTAAAAACTACAGTACCCTTTACAGAGTTGGAGATGTTCAAAGTTCTCACAATATACCTGGTAAGGTAAATGCCATGACCCGCATACGCAGGCCCGAAAGTTTTACGTTCTGCACAAAAGTCTAATTATCGAGTGTCGTTGTCACTGGAGTGTTGCCGGGTTCTCCGATACGGAGCTGCTCGCAGAAGCATGACGAGTAAGAAGCATCAAGCCGTCCGCAATGGCGATACTATTCCAAATAGGCCCCATTGTGCAGTCATATTCGCTGACAGCCTTGAGATCCTGAGGCAGCCAGCGACTAACTCGTCCACACACTCCATCAACCCCGCTGGGAACGCATTTACCCCACTGAAAAGCTTGTCCCGTTGTGGCGACAACTGCTGTCGTCTGTGGACCAGCAGTGATCAAATATACTCTCGTATCATTATCACGTTCCTGTGACAAACACACTGGCAATGGTTCGTATGCACACCCCGTGGCTACAACATCAGTGATCTTGGCATTTGACTGTTCGTCAATCCCTAGTTGACCCTCCCAGTTGCAACCGAAAGTGAACACTTGGCCTACTGCGGTTAACACAACGGAATGCATATCCCCACACGCGATGTCTAGCACTGGCATGCAATCAGCAGGAATACACACTGGTGAGGGTTCTAAAGTGTGTGGATCAGCGGGAGAACAGTGAGATCCCAGTCCGAGCTGTCCGTAGATGTTAGAGCCCCAGGCATATATCCCGCTACTGGCGAGAACTAACGAGTGGTAAAGACCGCATGCCACGCGGAATACTTTCTCAGGCGAAGAAAACCAGGGCACTCGTTCAGGCGTGCCACAACCTCGCCCTAACTGAGGTGCTGTCGATGACAAGGAAGACGATTCCCAGCTGTAGAGTTCACCTGACGAAGAGATTGCCATGAAGAAATGCTCACCTGCAGCGATCTGACGAAGATCCACAACATCAGTGATGGTTTTGGTACGGGCAAGAAGCGGCTTCCCACCCAGCAAACCAAAGCAATCGCCCATTGGATCCGTATCTAGCATTCGGACACCAGTTGCTGTCTCGGCTATCTGGTCGTCGTTTTCATCCGTGAAATCCACTTGCTGGTGCTGTAAGGGCTCGGAATTGGCATCTTCCAGAACTCGATAGGCTTCTGGAGCCCTCCACTGATGCAACTTGCGACCCGTACTCGCGGCAAAAGACGTCCTATTCGAAGCCACTACAACGACATTTCGCAACCCCACCCTGTATACCAACAAACCAAGCAAAAAGTGTTAGTTCGACGGTAATATCACTCCCAGCGGCCATGATGCTGCAGCTTACTCTTCCATGCGAACCATTAGTAGGCCTTGATCATCTCTATCGCTCCAGGAAAAGGTGCGATTCAAATCGTTTTCAGATTCCGCGAGGATACCATACTCATCCTTCTCATTTTGGTGGTTGCGCTTTGCATTTTCTCCAAAATATATGCTTCCCAATACAAAGCTTCCCGCTTCTTTGGTGAACAGCAGACAATAGAGTCGCGAGCAGTTGCGCACTTCAGCACTACGAGTCCGAGCTAGCAGCGTACGTGTCTGCATCTGGAGCAGATCCGCATTATATACACTCACAATCACATCGTAACATGGCGAAACCCGTCGACGCAGCGCCGCAATCGATAATAACGAACTGCTATCAGTCTGAAACATTGTCGATGGCTGAACCATTTGTTCTGCTTGTTGCAGAGATGACGAGAGCTCCTTGTGGCTCCGTGATTGCAATGGTGGCCCCTTAGGTGGTACATGGATAACTCCCACTGACGAAGCTCCTTTCGACGGCGATGTTAGGTGATCAGCCCCGGAGATGCCGCGACTCGCGTAGTAGCTGGCGAACTGTCGGAGTTGCTGACGGCGCTTGACGGACACGATGACGTGCGCAAGCGAGACGTTAATGGGTATATTATGCTCTCCTGCTACGCCACTCTTCGTGGCGTCAATTGCACTACCGAGGTACATTTTACGCCACATTACGCGCAGAAATTCGTGCTCGTCGAGACTCTGACGCTTCCTCTTAAGATCGGCCAGTAGCTGCAATAGGTCACGCTTGACGTCCCCAGCTGTGAATGGGATCAGCGACTGCTGCAACTCAGTTGCGCTCACTTGTCCATTACATTCAAGTTCATGGAATAGCTCACGCAGCTCCACTTGGGCTTGGGAATAGCAGGCGGCATGCTGCGGGTCCATTATTAGAAAAAAAAAAATCTAAATTCAAATTTAAATATTTTAAAATAAATAATATTGTATTTTACAAAAATCGGTAATTATTATCCTGTCTGAACTTACACTAGGTGGCATTCACTTATCTAGGAAAAACGTAGGTTGGTTGCGAACGATAAGTTCTGTCTTCTCATTGACTAAAGTTATGGTGACGATGTGCGTGCGCTACGAGTGCGTTTTTGGTCTGCCTGTCGAGTTAGCCGAAGTGTCGTTCCGACGGACAGCTCAGCTAACCTCCGCTTTCGAGAAGATGGTAAGAGCGGCAAATGCTCTAACCCAACCTTGAATACTTTCTCTGCCTGTTCCTCAGACATTTCTGTGGTGATTCTGCATCCATTCTCAGTTGCTACATCTAAAAGCGCTTCAGAAGACTGGACCAGTCAGAAAAGGTTTTACGCATAGACGCATTCGGAAGATCGTGTGCGCTGATGCGTCTTAGTGGAGGGTAGCCCCGTGCTTTATCGCCACAACATCCAAGCCCCGAATGCTTCAGTTTTAGGAAATTCAAACGATTTTGGGAGCATGTGAAACTTCCCATCGTAGTAATGAGCCGTTCCTGTCTTGTGTTGCTCCGCAGACGATGTAGTAGCTCGTCCACTGCACTCGCGCACTAAACCTGCGCGCGCTAGTAGTTTCGCGATTGTTGATTCCAGTAAGTCTTTGGTTAAATTGCCTGCAGTGACCCCTTTGCTTTCAATAAGGGAACTCATTCCTTCGAGGAGAACAGGAGGCAGGTTGTCAATGGACTGTTGAACACCCTGAAGTTGCTTGTAAATCTCGACGTGAGGCGGAATCCCGGTGGTCTTCATCCACAGCGAGTCACCAGAAACTAGGGAAGCGTTAAGTTCGTTCAGCGCTGTAGGTAGATTTAGACCCTAGAACAGTAATTGATGAACATTTTGTCCCCTTACTAAAGCGCTTAATCAGGCGACTAGCTTGATGTTCTACGCTGACGAATACCCTGCGTGAAGCTGGATATATTCGTCACAGCAGGTGCAGCAACAGACATTCGGCGGGGTGTGTCTCGGAACAAAGCTGTCGTTAGCATGGGATGTGACGGAGGTAGCGTAGTGTGCAGATACACAGAATGTTTGACTAGTGAAGCGACACATAGCTTGAGAATATCCACGATACTGCTGATCTCGAACAATGACGGGTACAATTTTCGAATGCACGCCAGTAATAAAAGGTTCTCGTTGTTTGTAAAATGTGGTGGCAGGATTGCAAACTCTGGGCGCGAAAGCGGTAGTCCAGCTACTACTCGACCGAGGTATTGATCGCCAGCTGCTTCGTACTGAATATAGCGGCCTTGAACTCCCCCTAACGACCACCCCACTCTAAGACACACACTAGCGATGGAGGGCCCTCCCGTCGACCCACTACATGCATACGTAGCAACGCCTTTCCTAATAGAGTGAGTTACATACTGTGATTGATGCTTGAGGTCGTTAACTAGCTGACGGAGAATACTGCCGAATCGAGCTTTTTTGCTCAGAGCCAGGAAATAGGGGCCCGGGTGGCTGAGATGGACGGCAAGCTAAGTACAAAGCGAGCGCAGTAATCCAACAAGTTTCGGGACTGAGCGGATTACTATACATGTGACGAGGGTCTTTCGGGGCATTGCCTTCTTGATTCGTCTTCGACTTGTACATTATGATCCCTATGCTCTGATCATGGTTACTCAGATGCTCAGTGCACAAGGTCTGCACTGACTCTGACCGGCACATCAAATTCCACTGTGTCGTTAAAAAGAGATTCGCAAAGCCAGCACCTTGACGAGCCAATGTTGCCCGACACAAATCGCGATATAAAGAGAATGGCAATGGGGCTTTTCCCGATTCCTTAGGAGATCCTGACTGGAACTTGGAGGCCTCCGTGCTTTTTAAACCAGAAAACAATCTTGTCAATTTGCTGTTGTACGCTAGAGGCAGTGATCTTTCCTTTTTGCGATAAGATCTTTTATCGCGCTGCGATATCCGCTTAACGTGCCGACGCTCACGGGTTTCCATTTTTCCAGTAGAAAATCATCGAAATCGGAAGGGGTGAAATGATCCAGGTTGATCTGTCCATTTGAGTCAAAATACTGGTCTGTATTATCCGGTTTCGTTGCCTTAATCCATCGCGAGATTACCCGTAAGCTCCCATTGTAAGCCCGCTGTGTTTTGCTCGAGACGCACGCGTCTCGAACGTCTTGAGCAGTTACCTCGGGAACGCCAGGGATCAGAGCCACCATACTGTCGCCAGTACCACCGGAGAGCTGGGGAATCGCACTGCTTCTGGCGCCCCAGTCCGAGTGAAGAGCCGAGCTGCTGCTGCTGAAACCAGAGATAGAAAGAGGCCGTTGTTCTGGCGCCAGTTCCAGAACGGGATGCCGTCGTGCTGGTGGTGGTGCCGGAGCCGGGAAGATCAGTCGTGATGCTGCTGCTGGAGCCGAAGAGCGGAGCCGTAATGCTGCTGCAGGTGCCGGAGAGAGGAGTCACCGTTCTGTTACTGGAGCCCAAGAGAGGGCTCGTCGTCTCGCTGTTGGCGCTTGCGAGAGGAGCTGTCGTGTTGCTGCTGGTGGGCTCCATGGTAACGCTGAAGGTGTCGGTGGCGTCGGAGAAGAGCACGAGATTGTGCTGGTCTGTTAGATTTGTTGCTGTGGTTCGAACGAACGGAAATGCGAGCTATGCGTGTCGAGTTTTATCCAATCACAGCAACTAGCTTCGTGTCGGAATTGCTGCCTACAAAATTATGCAAAATCATGTGTCTTTCTCACCTCATAGAGAATGCGCGAATCTTCAGGATAAGCCACTCGAAATGTTCGTGTTTTTCCCGCTGTATTTCCTACGATTCCATACAAAGTCCACGTATTCACCTACATTTCTACGACAATCAGACAGTATCTGGACTTAGAAGTTTAGCTGAGCTGTTGGTGGCATGGTTTATTTGGGTTATTTGGAACCCAAATCAAAAAAGTCCAATTCTGGGTCGTAATAATATATGCTTGGATAGCATTCAGACGAAAATAACCCATTAAAATTTTAATGGCTTTTTTTCGTCTGAATGCCATCCATACCTATATTATTATGACCTACAATTGGACTCTTTTGAGTTGGGTTCCAAATAACCCAAATAAACCATTGGCCGCACTATTTTGTCCGCATCTTGGTTTCATTAAATGTCTAATATGAAATCCCATATGTCGAGGCGGTGTGATGCGTTACTTTGCGATCGATCTAAAGTAGTCCAAAGTAACGCTTAGAAAGCAGTTGTTTTGATGCCTCAGATCTGATTCCATTTATTTCTTCTGTGAATACGGCAATATGATTGGTCCAAATGCAAGTGCGAGTCATTGGTCCAGGCACTCCAATTGCAGCGACCTGCATGGCGACTGCAGGAGGTGCGTGCTGCGCTGTGTGCATGCCTGTCACCCGATGCAAAAGGGTTGATAACCATTGTCTGTACACTGGGATGTCGTCTCTAAAAATTGTGTTTGGCGCGTGCATTTTGGTGATGTTATGAAGCAGAAAAGCACCCAATGGACCGACTGAAGGAAGACGTAGCCCATGTGCACGGAAAAGTGGCCGACTTGGACGCTGCAGTCGAGGTGAGCCAGCAACATTTATCTTAGTAATACTTATCCTAATACACAGTAATGTCGGTTACTGGTGTCTTGTGCAGACGGAGCTGCCGACGGATGCTGGCATGACGTACCTGCAAGTGAAGAACCACGCGTTGCTGACGTACACCAAGATGGAGCTCTTCTTCGCATTGCTTAAGGTAGATAATGAATCGCTTATGGCGTTATAGAGACGCCTTCTCTAATATTTGCATTGCTGTTGTTGCTGTCTACCGCAGCTGGAGGAGCCGGAGAAAGTGAAGGACCACCCCGTGTTCAAGGAACTGGTTCGTTACCGCACGCTACTGGAGCGTATTCGTCCGCTGGACCGCAAGATGAAGTATCAGGTGGACAAGATGCTTAAGGTGGCGCTATCCGGCGGCAAGGGGCTGGACGAGTCTCTGAGCTACGCCCCCAACCCGGACGAGCTTGCAGCCGAAGATGGACAGGACGACGAGGACGATGAAGAGGGCGGATCTGGCACCAAAGATGGCATTTACCGTGCACCACGCTTGGCAGCGGTGCCGTATGAGGAGGAGGAGCGCGCACAGGTTAAGCAGGCAAAGAAGGATGAGCGCAACCGTAAGCGCCTACAGAAGAGCACAATTCTGGCAGAACTGCGTGAGGAATTCAGCGAGCGACCCACGGAGATTCTGGCTAGCGGCACAAGTGTTGTGGACAAGGAGATCGCTCGCGAGGAGGCGGAGAAGAAGGAGTTCGAGGAATCGCGCTTTGTGCGTGTGGTTACATCGCGCAAGGACAAGATTCGTAAGCGTCAGCGCGAGATGGAGGCTAATCGCGCCGACAATGTCGGATCGATCGACAACTTTGCCGCTGTTCAAGATATCTTGTCATTGGACAAGACTAAACACCGCATCCCCACGCCGCGCGAACCGAAGAAGGTTGGCGGCAAGACGGGCGGTATCTTCTCGCATGTTGATGCACCGGTAAGCATGCTGTTTCGTGGTGTTGCTGGAGGAATCTTTTTGGATGCGATCACTAAACAAACGCTGTGTTTTGATTGATTACAGACTGAGAAAAAGCGCAAGGTAGCACGGAGTGTTGGTGGCGGTGGAGCTACTCGTGGGGCTGCAGCTGCATCGTCGGACCCCAGATCCGTCTCGGTCCCGAAGAAATTGTCGGGCAAAAAGAAGAAAGTGGTGTTTTCCAACCTCTTCTCGTGATCCCATAGATACCAAGGGCTTAATTCTGCAGAGTCCATGTCGATTTCTTACAGTATATTTGCCTAACATGCCTTTTACAGTTTGTTTGGATGATGTTCGTGTTCAGAATATCAACAGCGACGGTACTTGTGGAGCAAATACTGTATGTGATTCAGTGGTATACTGCTTTACTGTTGGGTAGTCTGACATTTGAACCCCGTTCGTAGTTCTTAGCGCAAACCTCCTCGGCCTACCGCCACTCTCCAAACTCCCATCGTTTTTTTTTTTTGCTAATGACATTCTGACTTGCATTTTGACACATTGAACTAGCAAGTTGCTTTTTGAAGCTGAGATTAATGCCAATTTGACATCACGTACTCCAACGTTAATTCTCTCCTTTCCCTCAACTTAGCATTTGTACACATTATTGACATGTGAACTAGCCCTTTCGTAGTTGATAAGGTGTACAGATTCCGCCCCCACTTTCAAAATCCAAAATAAAACGTCTTATTCGATTTATAAAATTGAAAAGGACAATAAGTGACTCCCGAAAGCACAATTTTTATGCGTACTATTCGAGAAAGAGACCCTACGCCAGCAACGACGAGCATAATCGCGTCACAAATGGCCAAAAAAATAAACAAATGTGTGTCGCAAATATAAAATGTGATTTCAGGAAGCACCCAGTACTTCAAGTATAAAGGTAGCGTTTTTTTCCATGTGATCGTATAGTTTACGAACGGCGTTACAGCAACCATATTATAACAACTTTAACGACTAAAAGCAACCATAGTGGACGGTAATTTATTGTATTCCGCCAAGTAATTAACCCTTTAGCTACGGAGTGCCATACCGGTCCATCAAGACCTGTAGGAGTAGCAGCGACGTAATTCAATTGGTTGAGAGTCATGATGTGGATTAGGTGCAAGCTGCCAGCTTCACTCTAGAGGTCCTCTTGAACCTGTACTAGAGCCAGTGATGCAAGTGTGGAAACAGCAGGTCACCAGGTATAAGTCTCGTAGAGGTTTTCCCATTCTCCAACGTTCCCGACTCGAACTAACAATGGACGGCGGCATAACTGGTGACTGGGAGCCTCTCAGCGAAGGCGAGATCGATCATTTCGGCTACAGCGCTTGCGAGCATGTTAGTGAGGATGAGGATGCCTTTTTGGACACCATTTCGAGCGACATACGAACTGAATCGTTGGGCAATGAGATTCCCCGGCCTCGATCAGTGCACACTTCAACTACATCGCCCAGCAGTACCTCTAATGCTCCTACGTCAGCTACGACCCAAGACAATCCATACATTGCTTCTTTGTCGATGCAGAATGGCCTTCACCTTGCCATGGAGACCCGTGTCAGGAAAGCGTTTGAAAAGGACGGCGCGTATGGGTTGTTCTCGCTGTTTGTTACTGGTGTATTACGCCAAAATATCCGTCAGTGGACATCGGCCAAGTTACAGCGTAGCGGCAAAAGTGTGGTGTCTGAAAGTGAACTCAACGCGTACCTTGGACTCGAAATCGCTATGAGCATTTGCCCACTCAATGAGATAGCAGATTTTTGGTCGACTGACCGCTTTCTAAGACAGCCAGCTTTTGTGGAGACAATGCCACGTGATCGTTTTCAGCAAATTCGAAGTGCGCTGCAGTTCATTCCTCCAGGTGCAGCGACATTTGGTGCTGTACGCGACCCACTATATCGTTGCCGGGGCTTACTTCAGCACTTTCAAAAACATTTCGCAGAGATTGCGGTGCCCATTGGCGCCTCTAGTCTGGATGAAATCACCGTGCGCACTAAAGCAAGGTCTCGTGCCAAAACTTATATGCCGTCGAAACCGGATAAGTACGGCCTTCGGTTTTATGCTGTGGTAGGCTGGGATTTTCTTTACGTCCACTCACTGTGGGACAATGGCTCGGGGAATAATACACCATCTACGCCTGCTGAACGCTATACTGAGCTCTTCCCGTCACTTCGAACTCCGTTGTACAACACTCTGTCACAAGAAGACATTCACATCGACCCGAAGTCAGCAACAGCGTTGTGGATAGCTATGGCGGGGCATCAAACGCGGACATTTAGATCGCCAAGCGGTCGGCGCTTGCTTGTTTCAGACAACTTTTACACTAGGCACACGTATGCGAGGGCCATTCATGCTTTTACCGATGGCGAAGTCTATTTACTCGGTACGGTACGAATGAATTTAGTCGATCAATTCAACAAGTTTGCCTTGGAGCCTGCCGTTCAGCGAGTAGCAAGACAAGAACGTGGATCGTGGGAGCTCGTCGCCGCAGTAGATCCCGAGAAGGACTGGGAAAAAAATGCTGCTGCTCACGCAAAGAAACAAAAGAACCGCCCGAAGGAGAAGCGCACCGAATACATGCCGACGTTGAGGTATGCTGATCGTTCTGGTTACATCGTTTTCAAAGATCGAAAGGTTGTTGTATTTTACTCCAATGACTTGAAGGCAACGATGTCTTCCAGCACCTTGCCATCAACATCGCCCGAGGCGATATATTGTTGCCATGGAACCGTGCCACTCTTGCGTTGGACTGGTGACACAATTATGCATCGAAAAGCGCTAGTGGCGCCAGCTCTTGTCGCAGCATACAATCGCTGTATGAACGCAGTAGATCGAGTGGACCAGCTTAGAAGTACCAACCCGACTCGCCGCCGCGAGAAGCGTTTGCACATGTCTGTCTTTACGTGGCTGCTGGACTTGTCGATTATCAATGCGTATGCGTTGCACCACCATCTCAACGAAACCAGTTCAGCTAGTATCACCCTCCGCGATTTCAAGAGGAGCATTGCTAACATGTTGACTCGCAACGAAAAACGACTACAGCAACAACGTGTACGTCGCCTACAAAAGCGCACGCATGACGTAATTGACGACGTCGTTGGAGCCGACGAGTCGCTGCACATAATTACACCCAACTCCACGCAGCATAGCAACGGAAAACTGACGTGTTATTTGTGCAGCCTTCGAGGGATGGCAAGAAAGTCGAAATATGGGTGCGCCAAATGCGAGCGCGGCTTCCACGTGGCGTGCTTCAGCGCGTTTCATTACAAAGGGGTCTTCCAAACAAATGCACCACACCTACAAGATGCGCTAGAAGCTATTGCGCGTGCTCCAACTGGGGATCCTGTAGCATTCACACGGAAACGTCGTAACCGCACCATCACACCTATTAGCCAACTCACACTTCCAATAAAGCCGTAGGCTCTGTGCGTACCTTTCTCCTAGTATCTGACCACAGTTTTAGCATGTTTGAATGCACGCAAGTCGGCAGCGTGCCTTTCATCTGACCAGTTTGTAAGTAGATAAATATACGTCCCATAGTCTTGCGAAGTGCCTTGTTCTGTCTTGGACGCCGAGACAGCCTCCCCTGCAATCGCGTCGCCCTCACCAGTAACGCCATTTCGAAAACGGCCCACACGCACGGAGACTGCCCGCATTGCCCACACAGCTCGTCGCGGCTGAGAGACATCTCAATTCTGCAAATGGGAAGTGGGAATTCAGAGGCAGATTGGCATAAAGAAAGACAGGTCCGCTGAATTTGAGCAGTGAACTTCTATTGGCTTAAACTTTAAAATGTGACCCTATGGTTGGCTTTCCTATAGGTTCAGTCGGACCTCTACCCGGAGCGCCGTAGCTAAAGGGTTAACGCAGCCCACTGGTTTGTCTAAAAATAGAGATGAGTCTGACACACCAGATTCCACACACATTTTGCTCAAAACAGCATCTCATGTGTACCACATCCAATACTTAGCATTTTCACATTTCAAGAGTGCCTCAGATGGACGAGAAAACATTGGTGCGCGAGTTGGTTCGCGCTAGACCTGACAAGCTCACGGATATGAAGCAAAAGCTGGAGACACTGAACGGGAAACTAGGGAAGCTGCTGAAGTTTCAACTGGAGTTCCACGCCTTGATAGAAGACAGCGAGGAACGCAGTTACGCGTTAGCAGCAGCTTTGGACTACAAAGACGAAAGTGTCCAAGATGGTTTTTTTGGCCTTCTGTTGGAGATGGTGGTCAACAAATTGAAAGGTTAGGAGCGTTTGAAAGGCGTTCGTATTCGTTTTTTCAACAAAGCAGAGCCATTACTTATTAGAGTTCATCTTCCAGCTTCTTATGGGTCTCTCTAGTTGCTTCAGCATCGGATTTAGACATATTTTGCTCGTCGGAATGCATCATAATGACCCAAAGCATTCGCAAACGCATTACCTTGACATCATTCTTCGAAACACTGTAGATTTGCCGCTTCATGTTTCCAGTAAGACAGCTGTGGGCCTGAGCCACCACCCAAAACACCACAGCTAGATCCGTCTGGCTGTTCAGGAGCTTTTATCCATTCGACTGGATTAATTATCAGAGGGACATTATCCGCTGTAGCGGCATGCCATCGTTCAAGAAAGCCACGAATACCTTCTTTTTCAGCAATATTCTTCTCGTCATCTTTTGCAACACCTTTCATAACGACCTCCAAATCATCATGGTATTCCTCATCCATCAAAGGCTCGTACATGTATACTTGCACACGCAAAATCTTTTTCGGTGTGTCCACGTAGGTCAGACGAATAACAATGATGTCCCAGTGGCTCGCTCTCATGTTCACAGGGTTGATGATGTACTCGTACTCTCCCAGCGGTGTACTCGGGGTTCTCGGCCATCCCAATTCCCAAGAAAGCGATGACAACGAGAGACACTTCTCTCTCGAATTCACTATCATTTGCAAACAGAAGTCGATAGGACTGTCGGTTAGCCATCCTCAACATACTCCACCCACAATGTTTGCAAAGCCGATTAAACCTTCACCAGACAGCGTCACAAACTCGATGCGAAGGCGACAAGATGTTCCTGCATACGAGAATTCTCCTACCATGCGCAGCCGACCTCTCCATTTCAAACGTGTATCGCTTTCTCTGGTCTCTTGGCCTCTCCCCACCCCAGCAGCTTGTCTTCGTATCTCTGCTGACGTGGCGACGCAGCCTTCAGTAGGTTTTCCCGCTTTTTCGTAAATGAGCGGCTCTGGTTACTCGTACTTAAGTGAAACATTTTTTAATACGCACCTAAGAGAAAAACTGAAAATTAAAACATTATTTTACGTCTGGAAATTTTGAATTTTGTTAACGCAACCATAGAGGTCTAAAGCAACCATAAATATCGCGTAGTATGGTTGTCGTAACGACTCCAATAGTTTATAAACAAACATGTACCATTATGTCAGAGCTGAATCAGGTTAAGTCCGTCGTAGCCAATTTACACGTTGACACTGGCACTGTAGCGTGTACATATTCGTACAATAGCCTACACAGTTCCATCTTGCAATATTTTCGATGAGAAACGCCGCGTACATCGCTGACAATAATCAAATTCCAATGTTGTGCATCTACTGCACTTGGTTTTTCAATGCGGTAATGCCAACTTACAAACACCTCCAAATCGATGTCCAAAAGGCTGCGAAATCACGGACTCCTTGTGGTGGTTGCTTGCTTGTAGGTTATGCAAGTTGATCCTGCCGTTCAATGGGCTCGATTCATTTTCTACGATGGACAACAGAATCAAGTCACAGTACAGTATACATGTCGCGCAGAAACGCATGGTAGGAAATATATCTCACTAAGTTGACAAGTATCCACCCCCAAACCCTAAAACCCCAAACATGCCTGAAATGCAACAGACTTAGAAAAAAAAACTAGTTGTTATGGCCTAGAGTGCTACTATATCCTGCAAGTTCGCACATACCATTCTCATTTGTAAGGTGGAAGTTATTAGAGCATCTCCAGCAGTGAGAATCTATATTCTTTGTATTTTCCACATGATACTGTCACTGTGGAAGGAATAATGGAGAGCCTTCCTTATCTTTCAGCATGTAATGCAGAAACACGTTTTTTTCAGTTCTTTCTAGCATAATTCCAAATATGAAATAATACCGTCGTAGAAGGGTTAATAATATTAAGTGAGGGGGAGACAAGAAGTTTTATATTATAAAAATTCTTGTCTCCCCCTCACTTTTGAAATGCAAAGCGTTGGCAAACAGACCTGTCGAGAGGCAGGTTATGAAGAACTCAAGACTGAACTCCGTGCTACAGTACTGGCAGTCGATTTTGCCTTGCTGCCTAAACAAGACTGTCTCAAGACACGCACCGCCGGCGCCGAAGTCTTATAATGACTGACCTAGCTAAGTATACTGTAAATATAATATTTATTAGGTATGTGCAGCGAATACGGAAACGTAGAATTTAAGCTGTCAATGAGTACACGTTTCTATTTTCATCGATCTGGGGTGGAAACACATCGTAGAGACGGTTGGAGAATGAATGGAAACATCCAAATCTCATATATTTGGAATGACAAGTTTAGTTTAAGTATTTCCTTGCTGGTGTATCGCTTTAAATTAATCATCGGTGGTACGACTACCTCACGAATTCTTTTGCGTTCGAGAATTTATGAGTCACAAATTGTGACTAACATCCTGCGTGAATCACGAAACTCGACGCTGCGAAGGGGGCTTTGGCTTTTGTCTCCGGAGATGCTCCGAGTCGATGCATTGGGACACGAAAATGCGTTCTTTGCTTCGCAACAAGACTCGCTTTATTCACTTTTGCTCGGTACTGAGTATTTAAAAAAAATACACTAGTGGAGGCAAATACACGAAATTGTGAAGTGTGAGTGAGTTGATACAACAGCAAATTGCACAATCATTTATAATAAAATCGACAAGCGTCGCACCCTTCGGCGGCTGATCACGGTAGCGGCTCCTACGCACCTCTTGCTAGTGATTCCAACTTGGAGCCTCCAGTTGCTTGCGCTACTTAACCTTTGCTGCGAGTGTATACTTCGTCAACTTTGTCGTGGAAATTTCAGCGAGCCCACGCCTTTGCGTGGCATTGGGACATGTGCGATCGCGGCAGGATGGGGAGATTTGATTATGGAGACGTGCTAAAGCGCAGCGAATTACAATAAAAACAGGCGCTTTGCTCCGCCAGTCCACGAATAGAACACAGAAGAAGCTTTCCGATGACCGCTTGTTACGCCGAGTCGGACGCGCAACTTTCAAACAGTCAAAACGTGAGCGACACGAATGCACTTGAGTTTTCGCTCACCATTTCAACAGAGGCAACAGTATGGATTCTCACTTCGCTTTGCTCGACGCCCTAGTGACAGGCAGATATGCATGTACATGCACTGTAGCTTAGGATTGAATGGTGGTGGCGGCATTCCCTAGTGAATTCGATAGCATTTGGAGTCGATCAGCTGCATAATTATCCTCACCGAAATTTCGCGTTGGGCTTGGCAAGATCGTATGGCGGCGATTTCACCGCGGCAAAGCACGTCGGCACCAAAAATATCCACAGCTCGCTCCATAACTCCGTCACAAAGCTCTTTCGTTTTGGTGGCGGTGTGGCGCTCTTGGTGCGTGCGGCAACTGCTGTACAAAGCTACAGAGAGGGAGTGCAGCGGCACTGCCACCGAACACAGTGCCGTTGATGGCAGCGCCCATTCTATGCATGCAGCGTCCTACCGATTGTCGGCCCCATATGGTCCACGCCTATGCGCGGTCCGCCTTTGGTTAAGTTAACGATGTAGCGGGGCCAATTAGCGCGCCCAATCAGACCACTATTTTGATCGCTCATCCATTGGCTGCAAAAATACCCGCCAATCAGTGGTACGCTGTAGACCGCATAAAAAGGTACTAGGGTTTAGGGCAGTAGTGGTCAGTGCCCACTCCCACGTTTAGGCTCATTTCCGCTTTTTGAACGCAACTCGAAGGAGTCGCTGCGCGCGAGGAAAAAAAAAAGAAGAAACTTTCTATATTCAATCCAAGGCATTATGGGCGACAACAAGATGCGTAAGCGCCCAGCTTCTTCAGGCCCTGACGGCCGCGCGGGCGCCTCGGCAGCGCCCGTGTTCCTTCAGAAGACCTACGACATGATCGAGAGCTCACCGTCGGCCGTCGCGTGCTGGAGCGAGTCCGGCACCTCGTTCATCATCAAGTTGCCGCGCGAGTTCGCCAAGACCATGCTGCCGCGCTACTTCAAGCACAACAATTTCAGCAGCTTCGTGCGCCAGCTTAACTTCTACGGCTTCCGCAAGCACAAGAAGGACGAGATTGTCATCTCCACCGAGGAGGACGAGAGCAAGAACTGGTGGGAGTTTTACCACGAGAAGTTCCTACGCGGCCGCCAGGAGCTGATGGCACAGATCCGCCGCAAAACGTACTCGGAGCCAGCCTCACCCGATCATGAGGAGGTAGAGACGCTCAAGCAGTCTGTACAGAGTCTGCAAGGCCAAGTATCTGAGCTCATGGGTCAACTCTCAGACCTCACAGGTCTTGTCAAGAGCCTTCTGCAAGACAAGCAAGGCCCCATCCCCATGCCGCCCCAGCGTGCGCCCAAGCGCATGAAGATGAGCGACGGCTCTGTACCTGTTCCCAGGATGTCAGTCTCTCCACCTGGTAACGTCATGCCCGAGGCGTTCGTGCCTCAGCTGGAGCAGATGCCCGTGTCGGCCCCGCAGCCTCGGCAGCCACAACCGAATATGATGCTGGATCCCGTGTCCAAGATCCAGAATCAACGGACACGAGACATGTCCCTCATGGAGTGGACCGAGTCTTACGGCATGGACTACTTGCTCAACGACTCAGGACGGCCGCTGCCGCTGTTCGCCGAGGATATGCTTAACTACGATTGAGCAAACCAACTCTTCTAGGCCTCGTGAGCTTCTCTGCTCCATCAGTGGAAGAGCTCAGAGGGCAGGCCTGGCCAAGGCAGGAGCGAGGGAGACGTTTATATCCTTTTATATATATTGCAAGTCGGCGGGCGCTGCATGAGAAAACGAGAAACGCGTTGACGGGGACAAGACAAGGCGAGCAGATAGCTGATGGGGCAAGGAATCGAAACTCGACTCGGCCGAAGGCAGGCAAGATTAGGAGAGTGAATTAGTTAGGTAGTAGTACTACGCAGTAGTTGTACACGCGGGAAACACGCTATCGCATCCGTGAAAATTTTATCATTACGAGTAAACTAAATGTTATTGAACGCTGATGTTTAGGCTTTCGTGCTTTCCTTTCGCGGTGTCGTCGTGGAACCATTCACGAGATTCTTCGTTCGGCTTTAAGCGCACGTTGGCTTGTTACGTTTGTCAATACTAGTAAGCCGCTAGGCACACACCAGTGTGCTAAGCCACGAGATATTCTGCCGATGCGATAGGACGGCACCTCACAACGCAGCTTCCAGGTTATGTCACGAGCCAACGTCAACACGGTCACCGCGCTGAAGTTGGTGACCAACACATGGTTTAGCGTTACGGCGAGCATCGTCGAATTCCAGTGGGGCAAGTCGGACCTGCGGCCTCGGTGACGGGAGGACGGAGTCTCCTTTCCACTACTTGTGGGTCATGTTGAAGGGTGAAGCGGGCAGAAGATTACCTCGGAATACTGACTACTGCTCTGGACAGCTACAATGACGATGCGCTTCCACCAGAGGCGCTTCTTCGCGTACCTGAGTGGAGCTCCCAACCTACACACGCTCAGCTTCGTGTCTTCTCAAAGGTGCGCAGTCATCTCTTGTTGCTTATCATCAAGTCTCCCACGTTGTTGACTCTATCTGGGCCTGTACGGACAGCTACACTCTGGTGACAACGGATAGATGTGTGTCTCTTTTGAGCTATGGAGATGCCGGCTACAGTCTGTACAAGATGGAAGTAGACGCTCTTCGCACCGGAAAGGCGGATGTGGTGGCGAGCGCTGTCATTGAGCGACCAGCAACGCACCAGTCACGAATCGCAGTCGCATACGCAGTGGGAGATGCGCTCTTCCTGCAGATTTTAGCCCCTCACCATGAACCTCTCGGCAAGGAAGACGGTGCTGAAGCCTCTGGTTGTGGGAAGTTTGAGTTGGAGGCAGCACCCACATGCATGTTCAGTGTACGGGCTGTAGGGTCGAATGGGGGCGTCTTTTACGGCGTCATGGTGTGCTGCACAGACTCCATGATGGCGTTTGGATATATTGAGAGCAGAAAGGATATCTCCACAACCGATTCTACTGCTGTTTGCGCTCGTCTGGATAACGACCAATTCGCCGCCTTCTTTCCTGAACTCGCTACGTTCACGCACACGATCCTGGCAGTGAATATCTTCACTTCACCTGAAAAGGACCAAGGCTGGATCGCGTTCGGTTGTGCTGACGGGTAATGCCGGCTATCGTTATTTGATGTGGTCTACGCGTTATACTCATTGCTATCTTTGATGTATGCTAGCCTGGTGTGTGTACTCCACGGGTCGATGCAACAAGGATGCCTTGGCGGCCCGTTCAAAATGAAAGACCTACAGCTGAATGGCCCCGTGACTTCTGTGGCTCTTTTCCCCAAGCAGAAGAAGACAACCAAAGAAGCAACGTCGATTTGGTGCTGTAACCTGCTGGTGACATGTGCGATCGGCCAGGCGGTTGTCTACGAGGACTTATATAGCACTTCCAACGAAGACCAGACCAGCGAGGTTTTGGTGGACTCTGACACATTCGACTCGATTTTCGCGGGCATCACTGCTGATATCGACCTGGTAAGCGTACACCACACTTGTAGGTTATGGTCTTCAAAATCTCAGATTGTGTATTAACGTGCTCGTAGGATGGAGAAGTTGAGCTGCTGTTGGGAACGGACAGTCAAGTCATGTTGGCATACAAAGAGGGCGCGGGTGATGACAGTAGCCACGCTGAAGATGCAACGACGAACTCGCATGTCGACGAGTCAAGCTCAGCATCACCCACATCGCTTGACAGTTCACATAATATTTGGAACGAATTGGAGACGATCTCAGTTGCGGGTGAAGAGGTTCACCCATCTGCGACCGAGTCTTCGCTAGCACGAAGACGGAAATGGCAGCGATTGGCTCGGAGCCAGTGGGACTTGGAGACATTCGGTGCCATCTACAGCCTTTTGTGGCGCGACATTAACCACGACGGCGTACCTGAGCTTCTCATTGCCAGCTCCACAGGTATCTACGTGTACGAAGCCGACCCGGTCTTCGTGATCGACAAGCTCGAGCATGTCTTGGCCGCATTGCACACGTCTTCAACTACCGCACAGTGATTTGTACAAATCGCAATCATCCATCATTGTCACATCTGATTCGCCAAAAACACTCCGTATCTGCATCTAATTGGTCAATAGCAGTAGCTCTATCTTAAAGAATATTCTGTACGATAGTAATGGTTCCATTTTGCCGCAAAATTGCGCTTTTCACTCTGGAATTGGCAGAGAGGCCATGCTGCCGCTCCGCTCAGTAGTTGGACGACGACAACTCACTCGCCATGCGCGGCTTTTGTCCGTCGCTGGGACACCAGGCCGCCCCGAGGGCGTCTCTGCAGCTGCGAGCGTGAGCTCGACCGCTGAGCCCAAGCCAGGACTTTTCCAGCTGCCTGACCTGCACACCCCGTCAGACTTCCCGAGACTTACGCGAGACGTCAAACTGCAGTGTCATCAGCTACGACAGGAGGTACCATAAGACTACTACGATATCTAGTCTTGGTAGTATACTAATATATTGCATTGTAGTTGGCAGCGTCGTCTCCTGGACTGGAAACGCTGCGTACTCTTGACGACATATCTAATGCTATTTGCTCAGTTATTGACGCTGCGGAGCTCTGTCGCAATGTACATCCCAACGAGTAAGAGACAAGGTATTACTTTTCAATACGAGAAGTACTAATGAGCTTTGATACTGTCAGGAACTTCCGGCGGGCTGCGAGCGAGTGCTTCACCGAGCTGTCGGACTTTATCCAGAACTTGAATGCTGATGTGGAGTTATATCGAGCTCTGAAAACGGTGACGGAGGACAAAATCAGTATGAAGAGCTTTACGCCAGAGCAGAGACGGATGGGAATTCTACTCCGTAACGAGTTTGAGCGCGACGGTATCCACTTGTCACGATCAGACCGGCAGAGGGTTATTTCGCTGCAGAACGATATTACGCAGCTCAGTATGCAGTTCCAGTCGACAATGTATAGTGCCAGAGACTACGTGGAAGTACCAGCGAAGCTCATTCGAGGCATGCCACACAGCATCACGTCTGTGTGTGAGCGCAAATGGATGAGTCGCGACACGCTGCGGGTCCCGACGGATATGCACGTCATGAACACGATCTTGAAGTGGGTCGGTGACCCTGAAGTCCGACGGAAAATGTACATTGCTGCCAATTCGTGTGCAAAGGACAACCTTCCGATTCTAGACAAACTGCGAGCAAAGCGGCATGAACTGGCTCAGCTTTTGGGCTTCCCCACGTACGCCCATCTTGCAACAAGGTAAGCCAACAGCAACATGAGGTTATTAGAAATCTGATTTACGATACTCACGGTGTCCTTACAGCGACCGCATGATCGGATCTCCGGAGGCGGTAGAAAGCTTCATTGAGGACATTGCCAAGCAGCTCATGTCGAAGGTACGTCAATGCGTTTGCCAAACTAGTCTTCTACAGTGTATTTAACGTTGTTTTTGCGTTACCAGGCTAAATTGGAGCAACAGCTTTTGCTGGATGCAAAGCGGAAGCATGAAGGACGATCTGTCGACCACGTGTACATGTGGGATTTACCTTACTACATGGGCATGCTCAAGGCCCACAAGCACCGCATTGATTCGCGTGTTATCTCTGCGTATTTCCCGCTCGAGAACTGTCTGAAAGGACTTCATCTGCTGTGCTCAGCATTGTTCGGACTAGAACTCAAGCAAATTCCCATGCTCAACGCAAGTGAGCGATGGCATGAAGACGTGGTGAAACTTGCACTCACTCGCAATGGCGAAACACTGGGATACATATACTTCGATCTGTATCCACGTCCGAATAAGTACAACCACGCAGCCCACTTCACCATCCGCTGTGGCAAGCGTATGAGCGAGACAACGTACCAGAAACCCATCGTGGCGCTCGTCTGCAACTTTAACAAGCCTGCTCCAGACAGTCCTTCGTTGCTGTCACACGCTGAAGTGGAGACGCTTTTCCACGAATTTGGTCACGCAATGCACTCGTTGCTGTCTCGCACTGAGTTCCAGCATCTTTCGGGAACTCGAGCGACTCTGGACTTCGTGGAGACTCCTTCGCATTTGTTTGAGTATTTTGCATGGGATTATCGCGTGGTTAGTGAGTTCGCTCACCACTACAGGACAGGCGCACCATTGCCTGCTGAAATGATGCAAGGTCTACGTGCCTCTAAGACGATGTTCGCAGCGATGGATACACAAACCCAGTGTCTGTACTCCATGCTGGATCTTCAGCTCTTCGGACAGCAGCCATTGCCATGCATCCCTCCTACGACCACACAGATGCTACATGAACTGCAGAACTCGAGTACACTGGTGCCTCATGTGGATGGAACATACTGGCATACGCGCTTCGGACACCTCATCGGCTACGGTGCCGGCTACTACAGTTATCTGTATGCTCGTGTGTTCGCAGCAGATATCTGGCATACCAACTTTTTGGGTTCCCAAGGTCCGTTGAATCGCGAAGCAGGCGATAAATTGTACCAGAAGCTGATGGGTCATGGCGGTGCTAAAGACCCCAATGATCTTCTGGTCGATATGCTTGGTCGTGAGCCGTCTCCTGTGAATTACCTGCACGAATTGGGCGTGTAAGCTGTCAGATACATGTAGTGTGGGTGGGTATCTCTTAGCTACACGGTGTGTTAGCATGAATAGGTTGCAATTTCTCGTGCGTTAGCTCGTCATATAATAGCTGATGCGATGTGAAGCTCTCGAACAAAGTGGGCGCACACCGGGCGTGGGGAGTAGGCAACAAGAAGCACAGGGATATAAATGGCTGCCTGCAGTTTGTCCGTCTTCGTCTCTCTCTCTCGTCTATTGCACGACACAGCAGGCCGCACACGGGGCGCCATCTTTGCCCACATCGTCCGGGTTCGCGGTCTTTACGTCCACATGCTGCTTACTGGCCATCTCCACATGCATGGAGCTGGTGGTAGGGCTTGAGCTTGATGGTGCTGCATCTAACTTGTCAGTGGGGGCAGCTGAGATGTTGCCCACTTTCTGCTTGGTTACGTCCGGAGACTTTTGCGTCACGAGGCCACCTGCCTGACGCCACAGCAGTGCATCCACCCAGAACGCAGCTTCATCATGGGAACGCGCCTTGATAGTGTAGACGCGCTCGTTCAACTCGATAGTGAAGAGACCAGGGCCATCTGTTTCAACCAGATAAAAGCAGCGAAACCCGTCAGCAGATTGCAGTTTAAATTTGGCGAAGATCTAGGAAGGATCTCACCGACGTGGTCTTCTTGGAGCAGCGTGATGGCGCCTACTTGTGGCAGATTCAACGCCGCCAGCAGCTTTTGTCCTTGTTTCTTTGTTGACGAAAACAGCGTCAGGATGTAAATGATTTTAGCATAAATTCCAGCAGATTCCACACCTTGTAGTATGTGAGGAAGCATCCGTTAGTTTCGAACCACCGCTTCTGCCATTTGCCCTCGCGCGTCTTCTTGAACAAATAGCCTGCAATTATGATATAACCACCATTTTAGTCATCTTTACTCGCATTCACACGAAGCGGCTCCAGCACGCACCGCGGATCTCTTCGGTGCGAAAGTTAGCCGTGCCCGAGCTGCTAGATTTGTTTGACGGCGATGAGGCCAAGAGCTTGGTGTCCACACGGTCGGCCATCGCGTCCACTTCTAGTTCTTCCTCGTGCGGCGATTGGTATATTGAGACTGGGACTGAGGTAGGAAACAGCTTTAGGTGTGACAACCCACCACTCCAACGAACTTAAATTGGTAAGTTTGTACAAAATAGGAGGGATGACATCGTTGAAGATGAAGCAGGACAACCCCAACTTGCATAAATAACACCCGTATCAGAATTTGACAGTGCGTTTGTATGCTGGATGGGTGCTTTAAAGCAGGATTTTCTGATTTACTCATTAGAATCAGATGCAGCTTTTTCGAGTTCACCACACCATTTCGTTGGTCGTCACTTCAACATTGTTGCTTTTTGTTGCCTAACGGAACAGCAAAAACCCTCGAGATCAGTGTTCGTCAGCCCCTCGATTAGCACCATAATGTTTTTCGCTCACGATGCAAGTAATACATATACCACTGTGTTTTGCATGCTATTTCGAAAGTTTCAAAATCAACCTTGCCAGATGATAACTTGTACAGCTTCACTATAATGCTAACATTCCTTTTGCTTGCTAGTGTATTCCAAATGAAACTACAGTAACACACTGAACTGTAGGCGAACGAGTAAGTATCAACCTACCGGTGCATCTTGCAACGAACAGCGTAGGCTTCAGATTCTATCGTCAATATACCTCGGTCATTGACATATTTCGTAGTTGGAATTTGATCCATGCAGCAAACTGCATGGGGAATCCAAGGCTTGAAATGTCCGAAGGAACTGACTGAAATGTGTTCTGTTTCGAGTGGACCCGAAAGTCCGAAGGCACTTGCTGTCGCACATCGAAAATGAAACCTGTATTTTGGCAAGTCTATGCGTTAGAAGAGGTCCATGTGTCATCACCTCCAAACGGTGACGCGCCGTCCGTATCGTACTGGTCTACGCCAACAGCAAAATGCAATGGTCCTGTAGCAGCACCCCAAGCCAACACTGCTAAAGCAGCAAAATGGTCTGGGATGTGGAGCGTTTGAAATGGATGGGGAACTCGCCTCCAGCGCATCTGGAGGCCAACCTTGGTCGCAATTGTTGGTCCTCGGCTACTTTACCAAGTACTTCCCCACCCCAAGATACGATCTAACCGCAGTTGAATCTGGTCAGCAAGTGTTGGTGGTAATTGAAGCTTCCTCCTCAAGCCTCTTCTTGTCTTTCATGGCAGCCCTTTCGATGACTGGCAGTCGCCAGTGGTGGCCGCATGCAGCATGCATGTCCTTGTCGCTTGGGCGGTCCGCACCGATTGAAGTTGTAGCCAACCCCGAGCCACTACGTCATAACGAAAAGCATTCCCTTTGCGGTGGGTTAAACATCACATGCAGGGATTGACTCGATTGATGCGCTACATGCAAGCGCCTGGATATCATGACAGCAAGCTTGGATGCAGCTTGCCTAACACTGGTTGTGCTGTTATCCTACATTTCAACAAGCCTCGCCTTCCCGGCGTGTCACCAGCATTTGCCGGACAGTGGTATCCACCACCAAGTTTCTAGCACCGGATTGGTGCAAAATACGGATTCAACCGTCGCAGAGACCTGAGAGTGGTGACGCACTCGATTTTGTCACTTCACCGCTCGTGACGACACACACTCATGATCATTGCTGAAAGCGCATTCGTCTTCACTTTTCAAGTCGCTGTTTGCCACAGGACCATCACTCATGGCTTTCACCATGCAGACACAGGTGAACTTGGCGTCTCCTGCTTCGCCGCTATCGCTGCGGGCCACGCCGCGAGTTGTAGCCACACCGCCGAGGAAGTTGAAGAAGAACGAGCCAGTCACCAGTGCACTGGTGCTCGTGGCCGTAATCTTCTTCGGTGTATTGTTGGCCCTTATGCTCATGGCCTTCTTCGCCTACGCACCACTGCTGTGCGCGTCCTGGCTCGGCATCTTGTACGTCATCGGGCTCTACTTATCCACCGAGTCCAAATGGCGCTGGCACGACGCGCAGGAGTTCGAAAACCGCTTCTGGACCGGCACCGCCTTCATGTTCAGCGCCGCGGTGCTTTACATCAAAGACTCACCGCTCGCCGTCGGTCAGTGGAGCTCCTCGCTCGGTCTCGTGCTCGTCTTCGGCTTCACCTCGAGCGTGCACTATTTCGACAGATTCCTGCACCGCCAGAAGATCAGTCACCGCCCGAGACTCAAGCTAACCACCCGACAAATGTCATCTAATTTATTCAAGTACAAAGCCACAGCCGAAGAGAAGACGCAGCTCGTCATGGAGTGCGTGAGTCGCATCGACCGCCATTATTTACCCAGTACCATAAACAGTTTTATCAACTTCTCAGAGGTCAAGCGGCGAGAGCTGAAGATCTTCCGGATTCTCGCTGGAGCAGGGAAAGACGAGCTCAACTATATTCTGAACCACACTCAACTAGCTCTGCTCTTCTACAAAGTTAAGGACCACTCGAACGTGCGTGAAGATCAAAGCCGTACACTCATTCTCGACTTATTGTGCACCACACGACTGGCAGATTTGTCTATCATGTCTCGAGCGGTACTACTGGATGCGATGATGGTTATGAAGATCAGTGCTCACCCGATGGCTGAAAAATGGGTGCGCAATATTATTTTAAAGACCCAGGGAGACGATCTGAGCAACCTCAAGGCATACACGGACGCAAAAGGGGATTTCCACAGCATGCACAAGCTGGTATTTAACGACATTCGTGATCCAACCATCCGTGCTGATATCCTGAGCCACATTCAACGGGAAGCTAGCGTTCAGATCGCACACATGCGGCTGGGAACGAAGCGAGGTCGTAGTCGCAAGCAACAGGCGTGGAGAAAAGTATTGAGTGATGTGGATGATACGCTGTACTCCTCAGGTGGACGCTATCCAGCAGGTTTGGACACTAGATACCCTCGACACACTCTGTATCCGGGAGTTCTGCCTTTCTATCGTGAGCTGGACATGGGTACTGTTGGGCCTGACGAGTGGACAGATGATCGTATTGGCAATCTAGTATTTCTCTCAGCTCGTCCACACGTGTACAAGGATGTGTCAGAGAAGAAATCCTACGCGAAATTTGCTGCACTACACGAGAAGATGGGGATGCACACGCTTCCTACGATGCTTGCTGGCAATCTGACATCCGGCCGTGCGTTCATGTGGCAAGGAGATCTGGAGCCCATGGCGCAGAAGAAGTTCGAGAACTTTAGTGAATTCTACCAGCTCTATCCGGAGTTCAAGCACGTATTTGTCGGTGACAACGGCCAAGGAGACGTGCGTGCGGCGGAGTTGATTGTGGAGAAATTCGGACCTGATGCATTGGAGGCCGCCTTTTTCCAACGTGTGCAGCCAATGGAGAAAATATTCAACTACCACTCGAAGGAGGACTTGGAACGTTGGCGAAAGATGAACATCGTCTTTTTCGACACGTACGTGGGTGCTGCAGTCGAAGCCTATCGTATAAAGAAGATTCGACTCAGTGGGCTGAAGAAAATCTGCGATGACGCAGTGAAGTCGTTCGAGGGTATTACTTGTTGGCTCACTCCGCAAAGTCGAGAACGTGCTCGACTCCTGCTGAACCGTGATATCACTGTGGCAAATGCCCTCATGTCGAAGAAGTTTGGGCCTTCTCCCTTGGTGATGAAGCCTCAAGTATTCGCTCTCAACTCGGTCGTTCGCACACCGATTGGGCGTGCCATCGTTCGTAGATTTCGCGGTACCGATGGCATTTATCAAGTGGACTTGACGGATTGGTCGTCATCGAGGACAAGACAGAAACGCGTGGAAGCCTTCTTTCCCGACGACAGTCTCACAGCTTACGTTAGTACGGACATATCGCCTTTGACCAAGAGCTCACTGAATTACGTCAAGTTCTACCGCGCTCCACCTGCAGCAGTCTTTGCACCACACACGCTCGTGAAAACGCTTTTCGATATTGGTCGAGTAATAAGTCACCGCGAAGAAGACGACATTTACACTGTATCCATCCCAGGAGACCACAACATGCTGCATATGGTGGCGTTCTTGAATTCCGATGCGCTACAACCTGTGGACGATGAATTCCTGGAAAACTACGCATCAAACGGATCGATGTCGCCGCGACTATTTGCTGGTGTGCGTTCTGGTATTGGTTTCATCACGAAGAAGCTCATCACATTTGTTCCTGGTGGATCTGGTGCCAAGCCATTGTTCGCTATGACGGTAGTGGTTGATTCGCCGTTTGGTCGCGGTGTGGTTGTCCACTTTCGGGAAGAAGATCGAGTCTATGAACTCCGGTTATTTAATAGCGATACTAGGACTCGGAGTGGTGAGCTGCCGTCGCCACTGAGTGTGTTCGTACAGGAGCGACACCTGCAGTTGTCTTCAGTATCCCCGCCTCGAAGTCTTCTGTCGCTGCTTGGACTGGGCTCGAGCAGGAAAGGGATAAGAACAGATCCTCTTCCTGTTGACTCACGTGTTACCACAGCATACGGAGAGGGTATCATTCGCAGCTACCGTGCTGTAGATGAGGTGTATGAAGTTGCTTTGAAGGATTGGACACTTGCGGATGGTCATAAGGTTATGGCATACATCTCTTCGCCAGCTTCACTACAACAAATAGCTCTGTAGGGGCGCGTTGTTCATCGCACACGAATTGCTTTTGCAAGAAAGTTGCCTGCTCGACCAAGAAAATTCGGAGGTTACAGTCTGAAACTTACAGAACGTTGAAAACCAGTAGATGCAGTAAAACTTTACTGCATCTATAGAATCACTTTACTAAAAGTGATCCTATTGTGTGCACACTGGATTGAATTGCTCAGAAGTTACCTGGGTGCGCCTGGCTGCAGATACAGGGCCACCGGACGGCGGCGACAATTCTTGCGAAAGAATAAAATCACAATAGACACTACTGTCTTCTGCTCTACTGTCTTTTGCTTCATTCCGGACGTCCCAAGCTATAGCCGTCGTTTGGCTTCAAATTGAAGGCTTTAATAGCACGAGTGTGCGGGATAGCCACCAACGGACGGTTATGTTGGAGTCGAATAGGTTCAGGTTGCCTGAAGATAGTTTCTTCTGCAGTCTACATTTGTCTTAACACGTGCTGTCCAGTTAGAAATACACATCTGCACCTTCCCATTTGGCCGCTCCATCCGACTGGCAGTCCATTCCTGAATTTGCAGCTTGCACCTCCACAAGAGCTTCGCCTTTCACCATGCAGACTCCAACCATCGAAACGAGTTATGTGGTCCCAGTAATGACGCCACAAGTGAGTGTGGGTTCTGCTGCGGACGCGAAGGAGCGAAAGATGCGAGACGAGGGCGGTGGTGCTACGCACGTGATCGATATTACCGCGGAGACCGGAAAAGACTGGGACGCTCCGTTCTTCGGCTGCTTCGCCAGCATCATGCCCAATTGCTGCATGTCCACGATCTGCCCCTGTGTCTCCGTTGCGCAGATCCAGGCTCGATTGGGCAACTCGTACACGATGGCGATCTTCAGCCACGGTGCCACAATCTTCGGTTTCATTATCTGCGTCATCCTCTTCATCTCACACAGCGTCACGACGGACGTGATCACGTCTCCCAATAGTTCGCATCGTGGTGAGGAACGCTCGTCTACAGGTCGACAAATTGTCTTCTTGTGCGGAGCGGTTTTCTTCGTTCTATTCTTCGCCTTCTCGGTTTGCCTCGTGCGGATGAAAGTACGGAAGCAATACGAGATCAAAGGAAACTGTGGTGGAGACTGTTTGGTGTCCACGTGCTGTGCTCCGTGTACTATTGCTCAGATGGCGACACAGACACAGAGCTACACGCCTGGCGTCGTCAACTTCCAGAATCCTGCAGTCGACACACTACCTGGATACCCAGCAACGCCAACAATGCCGATGTTTTTCATTTAATCGAGTTCAGAGAAATAGTGAGTTTCCAATCGTAACTGCGAATATAAGAGCGTACTCCCAACGGTAGCTAGCTTATCCAATGGAAATTCGCTGTGAAATCATAATTCGAGCTGTTGTGTTTATATCTGCCCCTAGCACTTCCCATAATCTTTAAATTTACCTCCGTACTAGTTTGTACACATTGGCGTGTACCTATAACTTGGCAGGTTTCCACTTTAGCGGGTCAGTTAGGTGTCTATGGTAAAGAGATGAAAGTTGGTTTTGGAAGGCTCAGCAGTGACAGTCTCGTTGCAAGAGCACGTTGAAGTGTAATGACTTGTCTCCACTCGAAACGTGGCTCCGTATTGATTACCGCCGCCGTTATGAGCATTGTTGT